ACCAGGGCAAGGAGTTGAAGGCGTTGACGATATCCAGGCTTACCGCCAACGCCACTCCGCCCCGGGACAGTACCTGCGTCGACAGTGTACGAACGTGAAGGATCGCGTCCACTGTCGACCGCGCCTGCCGGAATCCGTACTGGTCTTCCGACAGGTCAGGCCCTACTTGCGTCAGATGCCCGCTGAGCCGCTCGGCAAGTGTTCTTTCAAACAACTTGCCGGCCTCGTCCAGCAGGCATATGGGTCGGTATGCAGAGGGAGAGTCTGCGGGTCGACCTTCCTTCTTTATGAGGACCATCCTCGCCGACTTCCAGCCGGACGGGAACACACCGCTCCGGAGACAGCTGGTGAACAGCCGTCTCATGTGGTTCCCCAGTCCGGTGTGGAGAGCCAACACCCACGCCCTGCCCGGGATACCATCCGGGCCAGGCGCAGTGTTCCGAGCACCGAGACGCCTCACGGCTCGATCCAGCTCCTCGTCTGTTATGCCGAGATCGTCAGACCAAGTGTCCTCCTCCGTCACCGACACTTGTCCCGACGATCCCGGGGCGGGACTGCTCTCGACCCTAGGGAAGAGGGTGACCACAACCCTCTCCACGAACGCAGGGTCGAGGCTTGTCGTCAACGGAGGGACCCATGGCCGGAGCTTGCCCATAACCATTTTGTATGGCCGCCCCCATGGATCCCTCTGCAGTCCCTCGAGGAGCTCGCCCCAGGATCGAGCCCTGGCATCTTTTACTGCGAGGCTTAGCGCCCTCGCAGCGTCCCGGTACTCCGTATAGGCTCCTTCTCTCTCGTCGACGGTAGCTCGCCGCCTTCTACGGGCCCTTTTCCACTGGCGTCGGGCGCGCAGACAGACCTCAGTCAGCTGCGCTAACTCCTCCGACCACCAGTGCTGGGCCCGCTGCTCGGTGCGTGCAACTCGGGGCATCGAGACATCACAAATGGACGTCATCATGTCCCCGAGCCGCATCGCTTCCCTTTCCGGATCGAGCGAGATCTCAACGTCGGAATCTTCCGACCAAGATGCGGCGATGGCTGCGGCCTCGAGCAGATCTCTGTCGAGCCGCTTGAGGGACCATCGTCGCGGTGGGCCGCCGTGTTGGCGACGGGAACTGGCAGGACGGCGGAATACCACGTCGAATACGATGTGGTGGTGGTCAGATAGCGTGACCACCTCTTCTGCCACCCGCCAGGCAGACACCATGCGCGCCGCTGAAGGAGTCGCCCACGATAGATCGATGAGCGACTCGCCCTGCCACCGCACGCAGGTACTGACTGACCCCCGATTCAAGAGTTGGAGGTCTAATCCCGCCGCCCACTCTAGCATTATCTCCCCTCGGACACTATCCCGGACGTCGCCCCATGCTCTAGAGCGAGCGTTGAAGTCGCCCAGGACAATGACGGGACGAGGATGACATCTGCGAACGCAGTTTGCCACCCCGTCCAAGTATCCCTCGTAAGCGGCGAGGGACACGTTGGGGGAGACATAGCAGCCCACGACGGCGAGAGGACCCCATTCCACTGCGACAAAGCCCTGCCCTTGTTCGAGCTGGGTGCAGTGTGGGTCCTCCTCTCCGCCTCTCCAGTGGATGGCGACGGAGCCCGCGGAGTCACCGAACCATTTAGGGTGGTCCGGTACACGATATGGCTCCGTCACCACGGCCAGGGCAACCCGAAGCTCACCGAGGGTCTGCAGAAGGAGGCTCTGCGCCCCTCGCGTGTGGTTCAGGTTGCATTGGAGAACGCACATCTGAGCGAATGTTACGTCTCCATGACCTCCGCTGGAGCAGAGCTCGTGCTCTGTTCAGTCGACGCAGCCGCCTGTGGCTGCGACGGCCCATCGCCGGGGGTTAGGGGAGAGCTCTTCTTTCTCCTCCTCTTCCCTTTCGGGGGAGAGCACTGCTTAGTGCCCAGTCTATGATTGGCAGGCCTGCCAAGGTCCGCACAGACCGGGCACTTGGGAGAGATCGCAGTGCACTCCTTCGCCTTGTGGCCTTTCTGGCCACATGTGAAGCAGCAGTCGCTTCTGTCATTTTCTGACGGGCACTGTCGTCTGACGTGCCCCGGCTCCAGGCAGCGGTAACACCGCATGGGGCGGACCTCCAGGACCTCCACTTTTGCGGAGATCCAGTTTGACACGGCGATGCGTTTCGCTGCGTGCAGCTTGCGCACCGCCGTGAGGGGGCAGCGGACCCATGCGGAGAACATACCGCTGCGTGAGCGACGGAGCTCTCCTGCTCGTACGTCGCTCACTGCGCAGCCTCCGGTGCCCGCGATCGCTGCGGCAATCTGCTCCGGGGTAACGGCCTCATCGAGGCCCGTCACCCTAATCTCTCCGGACTTGACTGGACGCGCAATATGCACGGTCAAGTCCGAGAGAGCCTGCCTCATCTTTTCTTCTAAGGCCACGGCCTTGGAAGTGCTGTCTGGACCGGGAACCTCTATTATTATGCCCCCGGTCTGTGCACGCTTAATGCGCACTCCCGGCGCCTGTATGCCGCAGTCAGTCAACTTGACCCGCTCTTTAGCGGCGGCCATGACTGCGGCATAGCTCAGTGATGAGCCATCTGGCACCGTCACCGTTATGGCGGCAGTGGTCGGAGGCCTCGGAGGCGTAGCCGTCTTTTTGTGTCGTGGCAGCTGCGGCGGCGTAGCCTTGGATTGCAAGGCTTCCTGTGCCAGCCTGCTTCGCGCTTTGCGCCCCACCACCGCCGACCATGTCTCCTCCCGTACCAGGACGCTAGAGGGAGGCGCGATTGACGGGGCGGCCTCAGTCTCAACCTGCGTCGCCGCCCTGCTCTTCCTTGGTTTCTTCTTCCTCTTCTTTTTAAGGGAGGAGGAGGAAGTAATCGCCACTGCAGGCGGGAGTGCGGCCGGAACCGACTGTGGCTTTCCGAGTTTGGCGTCTATGAGAGCCTCAATGCTCTTAAATAGACGCCTCTCCCAGTCGCTTTCAACCAGTTGCGTCTGAGGCGGCTTTGCGGCCTTCGACACCTGCGATCCGCGGATCTGTGAGGCAGCCGAGGTCGCCGCGGGATTACGGCTCGGCTTTGTCGCCAGAGCCAATGTCGCGGGTCCGCAATTTGAAACCGCCGCCAATGTTGCCGCCGGTCCCCGGCTCGGTGCCGGCATTGAGACGGTGGCGGGCCCGCAGCCGTGAGTCGGTGAGGGTCCTGGGGTCTGAGGGTCGGCCCCCTGGCGGAGGGCGCGAAGTTCTTCCCTTAAGGACTCTACCATAGCTGAGAGACTGGAGAGCTGAGAACGCAGCTCTGCATTCTCTCTCTCCAGTCTCTCCACGTTGGTTCCGATGCAGGACCGTCGGGCTAGCTCCTCGCCAGCCGCTTGAACGGTCCTCGCCGCCATCCTGAGGGTTCGGACGTATGGGCCCTTGAGGTGGCCTGAGGTATCCGCCACCTTCTCGACCGTGTCAAGGTGTTGCTTAATGCGCAATCCGACCTCGGTCGTCGGAAGCGCCTCCATCTCCTTCATCAGATCGTTCTTGCTAGGAAGCGATAATTTGGACCGCGTATGCCGTGGAGCGACAGACGGATCCAAGACCGCTTCCTCGTCGCCTGAGCCTTTCTGTTGCCTTCTCTTTGGGGCCGGTGTCTCCGCTGAAGGCGGCTTAGCCCGCTTTCTGGTACGGCCGCGAGCCGACGTCGCAGATGACGCTGAGGCGAGCGACATGAAGGAGCAGTCGGACTCCTCTTCGCCGCTCTCTCCAACAGCACTCGGTGTCGGTGTCCTAGGACGCGCGAACCTTCCCAAGTCATCTCGTGTGGGCAGGCGCTCAGCCTGCTCCGACGTGTTCTTGCCAGGGTCGTTGGTGTTGGCGGGCGCCTTCGGGGTTCCCGCCGCCACCTCCAATTCGTCTACGCTCAATACACTAGCAGTATCGGTGTCCAGAGTTGTCGCCAGGTCGTGTTCACGGGAGTCAGCGGTAGGCTGGCTCACGAGGCAGTTTTTGCCCCCCCCAGAGTACGAGGGGCTGCCACCCGCCGAAGCGGATGGGCGGGATTCCCCCTTTCGGGGACCCGCCTGGGGACCATTTTTCAAACTAGCCTTATCCATAGCTTTGTTTTTTAAAGGGGTTCAACTCCCCTGTGGGACGCCCTAGAGACTGGATACCCTCCAGTCACTCATCCCGTCGCCGGGCGTCAGAACTTGGGATTGGGGTGATTTTTATAGAGGTTTTCTTCCTCGCGACTCTCCTCTCAGTGAGGTGAGCCCCCGGCCCCACTCAATGTGGGATTACGGGTTGCCCGACGTTGGCTAAGGCCTAGGTCCGTCCGAAGACAGACGTGTCGCGCAGAGCAAAAGGAGTCGCCTTTTGCTAGTGGAGCAAATATGTGCCCTTTATCTCCGTTGGACAGGTCCGTCCCGGGGAACCGGTACCCACCATATCTGGCGGGCGTGTCTCACGACAACGAACCTGTCTCAGCTCCTCGGGCAGATACTCAAACTGAGTACCCACCTGGCCGCTCCGCTGTGCCCTCTGCTGATCAGAGGGACACGCGGAAGGGTCCTCCGTTTGCTTCTTAGCTTCACTACAGGCTGGATTGCCTGCAGCTACTGAGCCCCCCCACCACGGCAAGGTGAGCAAAGACGGGGGGGAACATCACCTAACCTAGGTTAACTAACAGTCTAGGTTAGGTGACGTTGGTTAGTGTCGTTATGTACAAATAAGAAATTTCATGGACTAGACTACCTGAGATGAATATAAAAAAAAAAAACAGCCAACAATTTATATTTAGTGTTCCATCCTTTTGGGTTGTATGTATATATAAATATTTATAAGAGGCCATACTCGATACGAATTTTCTTTTTTCTTTTGTAACTTGCTTTACACTGGCTAATTGTCAGGTAAAGGTCACCAAATTTTTTTTACAGTTTAAGTACAAAAGAAAAAAAAAGTTAATTTAATAAGGTTAATTTACATACGAAAAGTTGTTTAATGTTCGTAAATAAAACAGTGCTGGAAAACAATTCCATGCATTTGCTGTCATAAATTTATAATTTTTATAATTTCCGGTATACGCTTGTTTTCTTGATCACTCGAAGGCTGTTCACCTTGTGGTTACACTTGGGACAAACTTGAGAGAGTTGGCGTACTACCGGGTCTGATAGATATGTTAAGATGTTGGTACATGAACCAGCTAAATATTGTGAGATGAGGAGGAGCTGTGTCGGATGCGTACTACAGGTTGGAGTGCGGGGTGAGACAGGGGAGTGGACCTCGCCGAAGCTCTTCAACCAGTACGTAAAAGAGCTGATGTTGGACTCAGCAGTAAGCTCGTCAGTTGTCACGTTGACAGTGTCAGCGTGAGTAACATCAGCTATGCAGACGATGCGGTATTTCTGGGTTCAACAGCGGGACCAATTACGGAGCTGCTTCGGACTTTTGAACAGCATACAAGTACCCGTGGCCTTGTGCACAATTGTGTTTAGAGCGAGTTTATGGTCTGGGGTTGGGGGAGTATATATTGTCTTATGAACAAAGAATTAAACTGAATCCATTGACCCTAAAGAGGGTTGATAAATTTAAATACCTTGAACATAATTTGATTTTATTAAGGACCTTAAAGACCAAACTGATATTGGTAGTGAACGTCGGGTGTTGGCTGCTAGATGTAATATGTTGGCACACAGATATGCCCGTTGTAGTGAGTAAGCCGAAATAACATTATTCAAGGCAATATATGATATATAACATTATTATCAATCCTTCTACACGGTTGGTTTGTGGGTTGGCTATACGCAGAAAGCACTATGCGTGTTCCATATAATAATGGTTTCAGAATGATCTTGGGACTGCCGCGGCACTGTAGCGCATCCTTGAAGTTTGTTCAAAGCAAAAAAAGACAGTGTCACTGCTCTTGAGACTGAGTACAAATATTCTAGCAAACACAGATGACATATAAATTAAGCATAGACCGAAACATTCGTTCAAAAAAAATTACTGCCATCTTACTTATTTTTGCCGTCAAGCAGTAACGTGTGCTAATGTTCACAGTACTACTGCCTAAAATCGGAACGGTAAGGGTGCTGGTGGAATTACGGGCACATGGGACTTGTCAACTTTATGTCTCAGGGTGACTGGCGCAGGGGCAGTGGACCTCAGATTTTTGCGATTTAAAACTTTAAGTGGCACTGTAACTGTGGTGGACAGGTATGTCGCTTATCACGAGGCGCGCGGCATCTTCCAGTTACTTGGTAACATAAAAAATGTCAATTGAATTTTCCCAAAAAAATTTTTTATTAGCCCCTGGTATGTTTCACATATTTTTAGTAAATATCGTTTTTGTTGTCACTTTTCATAGACCTAGCCTCTATGGTTGTTTCAGGTGGTAACTTTCGACCTCAGCCAGAGGCTTCAACATACTGGCAGTGTCTACGGTAAACCACTGTAAACTAATTAGTAGTGGTTATTTGAGTATTACCAACAGCGAGGAGAAGGCGCCACGTGTGGGCCTACGATTTCGCGGGGGCGGGCGCTTTGCGCCGCCCCACATCGAAAGCAGTAAGTGCATGTCACCTTAGTATATTTCCCCCTTTTTTTAAGTTCTTTACAATGATGCGAATAAGTGTAGTTCAAAACTGCAATTGCGGACGTCGAAACTATGGAGATGATATGAATATGCCGAATAATTGGGAGCATTTTTAATAGACATGGCGGTTGTCAAATCGATCCTTTACTGTGTTTCTTATTTAAGTACCCGTTTTTTAACGAGCCTAAGCGAATTGTTTACAGACTTCATACATTTTCTGTTATGATTTTCAATTCTGGTTTATTTTGTTGTGCAATATTTTCTTTTTATAGTCTATTCCAATAGAATTGAGAGTGGACGTAAACAAACAATTCTATTGGAATACACTATAGTGTATCACAATAGAATTTAGAGTGGACATAAATCCAGAATATGATAAAAATATATAAATCAAATAAGATAAAAATCCAGAAGTGATTTCTCCAGAATTTTAACCCAACTGGCTTGTTTACGTCCACTCTCAATTCTATTGGAATACACTATACGCTATTGATTTGTTTTATTATACACTCCTAAGTACGTAATTATATAACGTGTTCCTTGTTTTATTAATATTAACGCTGCATTCTTTTTTGTGTTAAGAAATTTGTAAGCGAATTTTTATTTAGTCGTCCTTTGTAACTTTGTTTTGGTTGCATTTATTATAAAGTTGGTTAGTGTCTGTCGAACAATAAGTCTTAATTCAGAACAAAACTTATATACATCTATTATTTATTTTGTGGTCTATGTCCTACAGTAGGTCTAAGAGATACGTTTCGAGGACGACACTCTATTAAATAGATCTGTCATTTAGTTTTAAGATCTTTGTCCATTAGTGGTCTGTTAAAGACTAATAAAACGTTTCAATTCAATATATTTTTTGAACCAAAAAGCGATGATTTATTAAAACTTGTTGTATGTGAATGTTGAAACTGCAATATTGTCGAAAATACTGGAATGATGAGAAGATGCTTCATTTTTTTTAGTAATTGTCAGTTTTTAAATATATATACGTATATATAAAAGTGTTTTGTGATTTCAATGGCATTGCGAAATATTGAAGTTACATTTATTTTAAATTTTTATGTTCACAATTTATGTGCTTTTGCGACTGTTCCTTACATTTGCGATAAACCTCTGAAGTCTGTCGCTATCTTTAAATGCCGATTTTCTACATTTTATTTGTTTTCTAAGCGTACTTTGCTATTAAATAACTTATTACTGTACCTATGTTGATCTTTACAAATTACCACATTTTTATCTTAAAAAGTAGTTTTTGACATCAACGCCGAATAGCTTGTATATAATATTTAGAATAGTAAGCAAAACAATTGTGCTTTTATATAGAAATAAACAGTTTAAATTTTAATTTTATATACAACAAAAACAATCTACATTATCTCTAGATAGTAAAGAAATTAGTCTGCTACGTCAGCGAAGAAGACAATTTAAAATATGAAAATAAGGGCGCCCGCTCACCGAGAACATTCGCGTGTAATGTAACATTCAAGATCCGTTTGCGAGCATTACATAACAAACTACCTCTCTCACCGGTGAGCTTTCGTATGTAAAGATTCGTTTTTGAGCATTACATTACAAACTACCTCGTTCACCGGCGAGCATTCGCCTATAATGTAACATCCAAGATTCGATTAGGCTGCGATTCCACCAGAGATGTGCGAGGTAGCAAGGCGTGAGTGCGAGTGCCTCTGAGAGCCCGTGAGTACTCGCGAGTGCCCGCGAATGTTTTGCGGTGAAGGAGCGCCTTTATGCTGACTCGGAAATGTGACTAACATTACCTTTGGCGCCAGCTCTAAGTTTTGTTCTTTGTTACGTGGCTATTCTTAGATATAGAATGGCAGCAATTTGTCATAATTTACATTATAAATTTTAACGATACAAGAAAAATTTAAATGATACAAGAAAAATTTAAACGATACAAGAATATCTGAAACTTAGCAAGCCAGTAATTTGTGCATTGTGTAGTTTGTGAATGAGATTTTTCTTACTAACGTTAGATTGTGAGCGCATTGTAAATGGCAATGGGATAGAATTTATTATAGAGATATTTAATGCGAACGTTTGTTTTCACACTTATTATCTCATCTAAGTATTTACTGTGTTAATGTCGGGTATTCGCAACGAAATAGCTAGTGTTTATAAATCAAATATACACATTACAGATTTGGCCCTCCCTTTTAAGATATGCATTATTTTCTTTAGATTCCAGCCGGATGGTTTATTAACATCTGGAGAAGCCAAGCATGATGTAGACTTGAACCCGCATATCATCCCTCCCGATCCGTACACGTCAGATTGTGTAAATGTCTCGCCAAATATTGACGATCTCCTAGTGACTGAGTGAGTGTTATAATGCTAAAGTGCGTCTCTTTTGTGTATGTGTTATTGATTGTAATCAATTTGAAGTCACATTGTCCATGTTTAAATTTTATAAATTATGTTTCAATTCTTTCCCGTTCCAGGGAATACGAAGAAGACACGATGAGTGCGGGTGAAGATGATCCATTGTCTGGTTTAAACGGAAGGCTGAGACCTAGAAAGTCACTTGTTTCTAGCTCTCAAAATAAGGCTATACGTAAAACTGGCGGCAAAATTGCACAAGACCGACCTAAACGGACAAGCATCTCGTCCAAAGCGTCGCCAAACAAACAAGATGATCTCTGTGTCAAGTCTGATTTCTCATCCACTCCGCAATTTCTGTGCCCTTACTGTGACAAGAAATTTGCATCCAAACAAACTGTGTCCAAGCATGTGCGTCGCATGCATTTCTCTGCATCTAAACAAGATGCCTTTCAATGCCTTTTTTGTAACCATGCTGAAGCGGAGTCTAATATCATCCGCCACATGGTTGACAGTCACCCAAATCAATATTTCGCTTGTTTGGAGTGCCATACGAGGTTCCCTTCTACCTCTGAATTGGCTGAACATAAATTGAATGTTTGTGAAAAACAAAAGGTTCCTCTTTATCGTAACAAGTTGCGTCAAAAGGGGACAAAGAAGTCAAAGAAATCATTGAATGTAGACGGAAAGAACAATTTCCGTAAGGATGATAAAAATTTTCAAGACGGACACGGCTTTAATGGCATTGTCATATCTTGTGAACTGAAGCCGTCACAGGTGCACGACGAAGCCGATATTGAGGACAATATAACAACCAACTTGATTTTGCCGCCAAGCAAAAATTTGGGTAATAATCCAGTAATCGAAAAAAGTGCGGTAATTGTTCTTGATGACATACAGTGGAATAAACGACTTCCGCCGAATTTTTCTTTTCAAAACACTGATCCCGATCAGATCCTGTCAAGATTAGGGGTAGTGCACAGGTCACCGAGGACTAACGAATATTCAAGAAGGGATTGGATCAAAGCGTTTGATGAAAGCACTTTAAAATTCGAGAGATGTTTTGATACCAACTTCTACTCTAAGGTGGCGGGTAACGTCCAGGAAAATTTGTCCAAATTTCTTGACGGATCATTTAACTTTAATCCCGATCCGGATAATACCATTAAAACAAGGAAGCCTAAAAATATCATTAATGCTGCTGAGGGCTTTCCGATACTCTTGGCTTGCGAACAGTATTCTCGCAATATACTGGACGGATACTTGCCACGCGCCATTGCACCGAAGCATAAGTGGAAGTGGGATAATTTAGACAATGACAAAAACCTGAGCCCAGACCAGATTCGTAGGAACTCTCACATAAACAACTGCATCGTAACTCTTGTATCAAACTTGGATATATGGACTCAACTGTGTATGAGGCGTAAATTCGAAAATAAATTCAACCACGGGCCCCCAGAGAAAAAGACAGAAAAACAAAATATTATCAGTAAGGAGTTGAAAGAAATCCTCGAGAGTAGGGAAATACCAACAACGTCACAGGTGGTTGTCAAATATGCAGGCAAACCGATGCCTCATCGTGAAGGACTTGATTTCCCCGCTTCTTTGGGGCTTACTCCATCAGCGCCGAAATATGAGTTGCAGCCATCGGTGTTGAGTGGTGAATGGGTTCGCCCTCGCTGCTATGTGTGCTGCGCGTGTGGTTCGCAAACACGCGATCCTCGCGCGCTTTCTGCGCACATGTCTAACGAGCATCCTAACGCCAGCGTACAACATTACGAAATTGTCGGGGAGCCTCTTCTAAATGCTGATATTCTAAAGCACTTGTATGTTCCTCCGACCCAAATATGCAATAGAACTAGACCACTGAGAGGTTACAGGGACTGCACGAAATGTAACAAATCTATTTCCCTGGAAGACTTACACCAGCATATGTTGGATTGTGCTGGCGACACACCGACTGTACGCCGCCGCCACAGTCGTCCCCGACCTTTTGGGGTACGCAGGCGACGACCACGCTTACCTGACAATACCATACGCAAAAAGATGCGCAAAGATATTCGAGGAAGACAAAGACGTCAGAAGAGTCATATGAGACCAAGGCCCAGACCTAGACCACGAAGTGAAGTTGGTGACGGTAAGTACAGCATTACTGGTTTTTAAAATATTGTTTTATTGATGATAATAATGTTACTATAATTGCTATTCGTTTCCTATTTCAGCTGAAACTATTCGAAAAATGCTCGCTGACTTGCCGGCAAAGCGTCACCGTGTTATGGTAAACCCTGTGAACATGCTGTCACGCCCACGTCGAATGTTAGAACAAAGAACCAAGTTGATTTTGAAGAAACGCCCTTCAGAAGATCTCAAAAACAGGAGGCGCATTAGAAAAGAAACCAAAGATGCAAAGCAGGGAGAGCCTTCTACCGGCGGTGAAAACTCTAATGAAAAGAACTTGAAGCAAGAACTTGATGATGAAGATAATAAACCACTAAAACGCATGATTAGTACGCGAAAGCTTCAACACAAGTCAATTAACAGGAAAAATATTATGAAAAGAGCTAAAAGGAGGTCCATCCGTGTTGAACAAAGGAAGAATACTGAAAATATCGATGCTCCAGCTACAACTAGCGTTGACGAAGTACCCACTGCAGACACACCCCAAAGGATTGATGTTAATAGAGGACCTTACAATACCCGCGAGCAAGCTAATCGTGGTGGTTCCAATCGCCGTGAAGAGCAACGACCGGGATGTAGCGGCTCAAATGGTAATGCTAATAATTTCTGCGCTCCAGCCCAAAACGTACCACCTTTGAAGCATTCGATAGCCCGATTAACAGCAAATTCCGAAACTCACGACAAGTCGGTGCAGTTTCATCATTCATTTTTGGTGCAGCAAGAATGCAACAATACGGATCAACATCTCCCCTCTGGACAGCGCACGCTTTTTGAAAATGAAGCTGTAGTTACTAAACTAGACAAACCACCCTTATATAGTACAAAGGGGTCACTCGATCTGTACGCTCTACAGAAGAACAAATTAAATAAACCAAGAAAAGGGTTAAATGATTGTATTGCAATGTTGAAAAATAAACTGGTGGAACCTGAACCTCATCGCGGTGCACTTACAAGTCATATATCTGTCCAGTGTGGTAGCGATGAGCCCATAGATGTGGGACTACCGCCACTGATCATCAAACAATTACCACAAATCGATGAATCGACGTTTCAAATCCCGGTTAATTCTCAAAGTAAATCAGTTCAGACAAATGAAAAACAGCACTTTGGTCAGAAAAAACAAGACAAGCGCTGCAAAAGTGTACCGATTCAACCAACAGACGTTGATATTCCAAATGAATCTAACAATCCCAGCGCATCTTTAATAGAAAGATCGACTACGCACATCGAAATACAAGGATTACACGAAAACCCTATTAAACTTAATCCGGATATTGAAATAATCCCTGTGCATTCACACATTGAAAATGTAAATGTTACCGCCAGAACGGAGCAAAAACCACTGCAAGATAACTCACTTGCTCCAAACCAGACAACAATAGATACAGAAACACTCCCTGTCAATGATCAAAGCAATGACAAAGAGGTAACACCACTCAAAACGTGCACTGACCCTTACACAAATGTTCAATGGCAAAAATCACTTGAAATAGTAGCAACCACAAGCAAAACTTCGGGTCCTATACCTCAAGTGATCCCAACTACAAGCAAAACTTCAGATCCGTCTGTGGAGAAGCAAGTTGATCATAATATAAATAATCAACCTTACAACTTAAGCAATGATTTTTCTGAAAGTTTGATATCTCAAATAGTACCAGATGCTGGTTTGGACTGCAGACAAATGCCTCTAGTGTCATATACTGAGAGAACTATTGACATTGTAGCAGCAATACCTCCAGCACATGCAAATTCTAGTGTCGACTGTCCTCTGGACCTATCCAGTAAAATTTTTACAACGTGTGAGACAGCGATTTCTGAAGACCTCTCTATTAGGGATGGTGCGTGTATGGTATGTAATTACGACGATATTTACGCAACTTTAGATTTATCAAATAAAGGAATTGACGCGATAACTGAAGATACTCAAGAACTTGATACAGTGGTCGATTTGCGTGTGAAGTCAACACCATTGGAGAGTTCAATTGAAACATTAGATTTATCCATTAACACTGACATGGGGCCCGATTTATCTGTTAGAGGAACAGATACAGAAAACGAGCCCACTGATTTATCTATACGGGGAAGAGGTACTTCCATGTCAATAGATTTATCAAGTAATACTGTAGAAGAAAGTGACATAGACTTCGTCCAGGACTTGTCTACACGAACTACTCTTCGAGAAAGCGAATGCAATAATTTTTCTTGCGAAGAGAATATCTCCCCAACCGATTTATCGGCAAAGAGCGTACAAGTTTTAGTAAGTGGAAATAACTACACGAATCTTACTGAAGCTACTAATTTAGTAATAAGAAGTGAACGAAGCAACTACGATGCATTTGATAAAAAATCGATTTTCCAGCAACAATCTGAAACGGTCACAAAGTTACCTAATGAAGGCAGTAATGGTCAAGAGAATCCTTTCAAGTCAATACAGTCTCGAGTGGCAGATAAATCTTGCACGTTGATTCCCCGATCTGCTTATAATTCAAACTTAAAGGTACCGCAATTTAAAACTAGATGTCCTACCAATGAAAAGGCAGTAAATTGCGTTGAGGTTGCAACTATAAAGCCAATGTCAAAACAAATTAATTCGTCTGACTGCGTTTCTCTGAGGCAAGATTCATCTATTTTTAAGGTATATTCCACTAATGATGGTTCTACTCCAGCTTTGTTACCAAGTGCTTCAATTAAAAATGCTGTGCGAACTGTCTCTGGAACTGTTCCAGGGTATTTGTTATCTAATCGAGCAACAACGGCCTCTATTGGAAAACTCGAAAGTACTATGCCAGTTTATGCGTTGGCTAATACATGTATATCTGTGACGAAAATCGAACCTTCGACGTCAGTGACATTGACCAATTCACTTCTAAGTGTCGCTGGTACGACCATAGCAAGCACAATACCTGTATATACATTGGCAGGCACGACAGTCGCTACACCGGAAGTTCATGCTGCTGTAGAAGCAGAATTAAAAAACTATTCCATAAACAGAGAATATGCTCCATCTTGTGAGTCGTCAATTTGTGAATCCGAAACTCTCAATTGCGAAACAGAAAATATAGATAAAGATTTGACAGAAGAAGAGAAAGCTCAACTTATTAGTGACATGTTGAAAAGCTTAACTCCTGAGAAAGCACAAAAGATTTTTGTGCTTCCGGACCACATTAAGTTAATATTGGCAAGGATGCAACCCGATCATAGAAATCAGTTGATGAACGTGTTACCACAGTTTCAACCCACCACTAACGATGTATCACTGATTTCCAGTAATGCGCCACATACTGTGACTTCGGCCACTTCTGATATAATAACATTTCAGATCCAACATGCCGTAAGTTTATCAAATATTGTTTGCTCAGCATCAACTTCCCAACAGGCATTAAATATTAATATGCCTTCATCAAATTTACCGAAAGCATTTGTATTACCAATTACTTCGGCACCAACATCCCTTACCGGAAGTGAAGGTCAAGCTGTCGATCCAGATTTACGCATTTCAAAAGTTGTCAAAGAAGAATTATTTACAATAGATACAGATCAATTTTTGGTAGATCCTGCAAGTGGGTTAGTTGCTGGTAGATCGAATGAGTCCAATCGCAATTGTGTTATTGATTTGACAAAGGATGAGAACGTACCAACAGCAGTTGATCTAGTGAAAGCAGCTGGAGAACTTTCTCAAGCTTTATGTCAAGATCAACCAACGCTACCTGTTCCAAAAACTGTAAGACAGAGGAGCAATGATCAGACTGCTAGTTTAAGAGCAGTTCGTATAAAAGCGCCGTCGGAAAGGCACAAAGAAATTCAGTTGTCGAAAAGAGCGTCTGAGGAACAAAGTCCATCATTCACCCAAAATGATACGGCGGATAATGATGTAAATCAAATATTGGAATCTGGAATTCCTTCAGCTGTACAACAAGTCGAAGTAAGTAATATGAAGCACCACAAGACAAGTATGCCTACTGATTCTAAGCTAACAGTCACGTTGCCGCCTGTCGTATTAAACTTAGATGGTATTACTACACGTACTCAAGAACACAGCCCGGCTACAGTCGTTCCAGTAAAAAAAGATCACGAAAATGTCGTTTATAATCAGCACTCTGGTTACAAATCTTCTGTAGTCAATTTATCTGTTAATGCTAATAGTAGACGTCTCTCCAATGTTGAACAAAACCAAGACGATGTCCATGTAAATTCCAAATATGCGGCTACTTCTAAGCAAGGCCCTAAGAATTTGGTTTCTGAAGCGTGTTCGTCTAAAAAACTAAAAGTCTCAGACGAAAATAATGTAGAAGACATCGACATAAGATCGCAAACGAATGCTGACGAAGTTCAAGGTGTAACCAATATAAAGACCTTATTTGAAAATGATGATGATAAGAATACGCTGGATGATGAAGATTCTGAGGATGATGTCTCTTTGGCGATAATAGTTAAGAAAAAGCACGATGAACTAATCCTCAAATCTCATACCAAGAAGTGTCATGAAAACAAACACTCTCATAAAATGACCTCGGGAAAAAAGAAGAAAAAAGAAAAGAAATCCACTAAAGCACATAATTCTAAAAAACGAAAGAAGTCAAAAAATTTGAAAAACGAAGAAGTAGAAAGCGTTGTTTCTTTAACTGACCTACCAAATGATGAAGTTGTTTCTGATGACACTGAAGGCAATGACAACATAACGGATGACAATAAAAATTTGAAGAAGAAATGTAAATTAACAAGTCCCCAGTTAAGTGCAGTCGATACAGAATTGCAGGGGCAACCGGACATAGATAAAGACAAAGAAAATTACATTGTTCCCGACGGCACTAAAACGAATGTAGCTCCTGATGTTAGCACGGAAACCTTACAAACATCAGACAAAAGTGGTAGTAAATCTATTGAAGTTGAAATCGTACGACCACAATCAGCATTAAATGAAACTTCAGTAAAAACGACGAATGTTAAAGAAAGCACGGAGGCTGCCAAAGCATCTCTGGTGAAATTGCAGAAAGATACAAACGAAGATCTCGATGATACTAAAGACTCTTCTTCTTCAGACCTAATAGAAAAATCACAGAGCGTTAACGACATAGTCATACAAAATGAAATATGCGAAAACGAAACAAATGTACAGAAATGCGTTGCAACCTCTGCAATTGAAGAAAAAGTTATCTTAAGTTCTTGCGAGTTAAGCAAAAATGTGCAGGGCAATGAAGACACTCTACCTGGAAGCAGCACTCAGGACGCACAAGAATTGGTAGCATCGTCAAGTACGCAATTTGAAAAAAAATCAGTTTTGCTAAATGACGATAAAAATAAAACGTTTTGTTCTAAGACAATCAAAGATGTTAAAAGCTTCCAAATGATAGTCACAAATGATCTTCCGGCAAACTGTGACGTTGAAGAAAATGTTGCATTGCCCTTAAGACGAAGCCGACGAGGCAAAACACTTTTCGTCGAGACCAATGTACCAGACCACGAGAATTCAACAACAACTTCAGAAAACCCTACAGAGAAGACTCCTTTAACTAAGAAACAGCTAATTTTTTCAAAGTTATTACTTGACGAAGAAAATCATAACAAATGTCCCGAAGCTATCGGTAATGAAAACACAATTCATAAAGACGAAGAGGTTTTAAATACTGAAGGCACTACAAATGCAACAAGTAATTGTTTTGAGCCTTTAGAAAAAAGTAGATCTACGAAGCGAAAGAACCCACCGCAGTTGAAACGGAAATCTAAAAAGAAAAAATCTCTGGATTTAGGAAGCTATAAACGACACGAAACAAACGTAAACAATTCAGACAAAGTAAATCAACAGGCAGTAGATGATAATACCCTTAATATGACAACAGATATCCAGTTAAAGGATAGTGTAATTAATACCGAAATGGTTGATACTGGTGAAAGCGACCATGTACTATCACAGGAGGATTCGAATAAACAAACCGCAGAAATTTCTTTAAAAGTAGATGAAATAACCAACATTGAAGTAGACAACGCCAGCTTGATTTCGAATGTAATTTCTGAAGAGTCGTGCAACAAACTTGATAATAGTAAAATAAATTATGCAGAAAAAAGGAAACTGAGTACTGCTGCAAATGTCAATTCTACTCCAAAACCGAAAAGGACTAAACTTAATAAGATAGATAGCGACAAAGTGGATGAGCCAAGAAAATGTGCACGTGTTAGTGCAGACTCCGAAACAGGTTATGGAAAAGAAGGTGCGAGTTATACAGCTTTTGCCGCGAAGAGAACTCGATCGAAATCTGTAATTGTGAAGTCATCTAGTTCAGATTTTTATGACCCATATGATATTGATTTAGATGACGTACCGGAGAAGGCTGAACCTTTTAGGAAAAATTATTCCAAGTTCAAAACTAAAAACATTTCAAAACCATGTACAATTGTGAGCACAGAGGCTATTGAAACGCAAATATCATCAGAATGTAATATCGAATCATCAGAAGCAAGTCTAATCTCTCACCCAGTCACAGAAATAAGTGATTCGCGAAAAGATGATCATAACTACCAGAATAAAAACGAGGTGAAAATGACTGATAGTAGACCCAATCTTGATACAATAGTGCATACAGAAGTTGAGGATAATGTAAACGATTCTGACGATTCGTCTAAGAGCGATGTGCCTCTAAAAAGATATGTAGAAGAAAAAGGGAAAAAAATAGATAGTTCCAAAAAGGAACACCATATTGCTAGCGGCTCCTCGGGAGAAACAAATGAACACAACTGCAACGATGAAAATGAGAAAAACAGAACTTCAGTAACAGTTGAGAACTCTAGTAATTTAGCCCGAGAAACTGAAGAACAACTTCGCTCCGAACAATTTATGGAAAGTTTTGGTTTCTTCTCTGAAAGAAAGCCTCGAAAGTCGAATTTATTAGCATCTAAGAAAATCTCGGAAACATTCCACATTATAGCAAATGAAAGTGATGACGTATACTTCGGATTTAAAGAGCGAACTTCGAAAAAAAGACTAAATGAAAACAGAAAATCTAAAGAAGGAGAAGGTACAGAATCGCAATCGAAGACGAATGTAAAACGTGGCCGTAAAAAGAAATCTTGCACATCTACGGAAACATGTTATTGTTACATTTGCAAAAAAGAATTTCGTCGTCCCGATAATTATCTAAGACACCAGATGACTTTGCTTCATATATCTAAACTGTCAGAAGTAGAATTGAGAGTCAAAACTGTTCCAGTTCCAGAAGAACCTAATTATTTGATTCCTTACAAACAACAGTTAGACCGTCTCAAAATACTAACGCGGAAATTGGCTAAGCAAAAAAAGAATTCTAAATCTAAAATTAAACTTCCGACACTAGAAGAAATTTTAGAAAACGTTAATAAAACAGTAAGAGAACAACAGCTTTCACGAACTAATAGAAGTCTTAGTAGAGATGAAGCCCTCTTCATTGACTGTTGTGAGCTTTTAAAAGAATCTCATAAGAATGAACCCGCACCTAACCCAGAAACTTTACCAATGACGGCAGATGTAACTTTTGTAAGTGTTGCCCACTGTTCTAGATCTGGATTAGAGCTAATACCCAAGACTGACACCAATGATGGCGATGTTGATTCTATAACAGCTAAAACGATATTAGAAAGCGAAGAAGTGCGAAATCTAGAAAACGACTTAATTTCTGGACTAAAAGAGGCGGCTGAAGCTGCTAATGCAGCACAATCGCAAATGGCCATGAGCTACCAGCACTCATTGCACAATATTCCTTCAACGGTTGTTGACGGCAATGAAAATCTTAATATGTCTGAGGAAGACGTCTCACCCTACGACGAAAAGAAGAACGGGGAAGAAAATTTTGATACTACAGAAGAAATCCTTACTAATACACACAGAAAATACCCAGAAATTAAAGAAAAAATGTACCCAGATATTGAGGAAATAGATGTGTTTGAAGACAAGTTTGATAAAATCAAAAGGAAATGCAGATCGCAAGCAGCTGCTGCAAAACATATGCAACCTATTATTGAATCAAGTGGCGGGTAAGTATTTGTAGCCTTTTTGTTTCTGTGATCAATGGCGACGTCTTATATTACATTTTTCGTTTGCTCGCAGGCACAAAGGACGTAAGAAATCTGACAAGAAGAAAGGAAAAAAGAGCTCTAAGAAGAACAGTCAGAACACAGTGTTGACAAAGGGAGCTTTGAAGGGCTTTGACGGTATCAAGGTATCTATTCCAACGTCAGATATTAATCTATCTGCTATTGCTCCACCTACGGAAGCGCATGTGAAAAAGAAAAGGAAAAGTGGTATTAAAAAGAAGAGAGATAAAAAGGAATCTGAATCGAGTAATAAATACGACAGTGACATTAAGCTCAAGGAAAGCAGTGCATCTCAGAAAAAAGTTGATGTTTATGAGTTTATGGACAACGAAGACGCGGAACTCTTTGAATTTAGACCGTCGACCTTGATGGAAAGATTCAAAAGTATCAGTAGCAAAGAGATGCCATCAACTTCAAAGATTAACCCCACGGCCGTCATAGAGGAGAAGTCGAGTGAAAGCGCATCCGACGGAGATGACTTTGTCTATATGTCTGATGATTATCTATGCAGTGACGACGAAACCGAGAACAGCCTAATGTCCTGTGAATTGGGTAATTTGAAAATCGAAGCCAAGAAAAATATATCACCACTAAAAAGAAAGGATGTTGTTGAAAAGAATGCAGTGATGGGTAAAATATTTAAACATAACGCTGTTCGAAGTGAGAAAAAGTGTACAAAAACCAGGGAAGTCGCTAAACCTAAAGCTAATCTAGATCAGTTATTCGACAGTTTATTGGAAGATGAACCTAACTCGTCGCTGCTGTATAGTACCGATTCGGTACAGAAAGTAGAAATTGATGATGTACACAAGACTCAAGAGCAGTATAAAAAATTCGAATTATTGGTGACACCTAAGCCGCGAGAACGCGTTGATATTTTGGATCAGTATGTAGAGTTTATGCGATCACCAAAAAAAGTAAGTTCTCGTAGCCCTGAACAATCAAAAGAAAGTGTAAGTAAATCACTACAAAAGTGCGACATTCCGAAAAAAGCTGATAATACGCTTTCGGTAGACTACGGACCATCTACATCTAAGAAAGAAGATTTTACTGTGAGTGAAATTTATGGTCCAAGTACATCCAAAAAATGTGACCGGTCGTCAAAGATGGACAATAAAACTCAGATGCCAAAGAGACAGGACTATTCAGCAAGAAAGTATGACGATTCTTCAGAGTTTCGCGATTCTTTATCAAAAGACAACAAATTAACCAAAAGTATCGAAAGTAAATGTGAAGAAATGTTTAAAAAGTGTGTAAATGAATTAAATACAAGTGAAGTGTTGGACGATGCTGGAGTGGCGAGACAGAGAGCTCGCCGAAAGTGCACTGTAGGTAAACAAAACGTGCTGGCGGAGACTTGGAGCTCTGAATCAGAACCTGATGAATTTCCTCCGCGGCCAAACAGTGCCGAGTCAGTTGTTGTAGGTGCTGGCCGCAAGAAGAAGAGTAGGAAGAAAGATGGACAGCAGTCGGGAGGACGTCGTGGTAAGCAAACAACTTTAAAAAAACAAGATATTGAAAGCAGGGTAACTAGTAGTAATCGCAACACATCGAGTGGCGACGGGAAAAGCTGTGTCGTTCCAGGCATGCGAGTCGCCGGAGGTGGTGGCGACGAACGAGAATTTGGTGAAAGCAGCAGTAGCTCCGCCGTGGCCGGCCCGTCCTCCGCAGTTGAGAGCGCCATGTCTCCCGCCGTCCCTGGGCCGAGCGGCTGGAAGGGCCGCCAGCGCTCCGCTACCTACTACTGGTCGTCGGAAGGAGACGAAGAACAAGAACATCTCCAACAGCACGGGTGGATCGTTGGCGATAGCCATAAAAAATTAGTTACAATGTTGGCCCATGCTAAAGGTCGAAAGCGTCATAACGATGAGAAGCGCCATTCTTTAGAGTAAATTTAGTTTTTATGGTATATTAATCTTGTAAATACACTGTACATACTATTCTAGCTCTTTACATAATGTCATTTTTCTTGACATTTTTGACCAGGATCACTTTGCGTTTAGTTCTGTACATACTGTATATCTTTTTATAGCATTATTTTAGTTAAAATTTGAAAACTGTGAGGACTGAGTTATTTAATTGGTTATCGACAGCCCTTGCTATAAAATATTTATTAGGATTATTGCTCTTTATTTAATAAGAGAGGGACATTTTCTTATGTGCGAGGGTGGATTGAAAAGTTCGCGACCTCTCGTGGAAGTAGTTATTATATTTTTTTTTCGTATTATCCTCATTTAATTCATATATTCATTGGTTGTCACTGTGCAATTTTTTATTGGTGTAGTGTTTGTAGTTTTTAAATTAAAGCGAGTTTAATGAGGTCAAGTGCAGCGCATTGCAAAAATAGAGAATATTGAACAATGTGCTGCCATGAAATACTTGTTTAAAAAGAGATTAACACCGATAGAGATCCACAGTGACATGGAAACAACATTGTGGGAATTACTATAAAAATGAATCGCATTCAAACTTGTAAGAGACAGCATCGCAAAAGACCCTAGGTCTAGCCCGCCCACGGCGTCGGCGACTGAAGAAAACAAGAAAAGTGTGTGATCTCGTTATGGAAGTCCAAAATTTATCACCAAGGAGATTGCAGGCATTATGGGCATTTCGTATGAACGCACATAATACATAACTGTTATCGAACTTCGATTTTACAAGGTTTCTGCTATACCACTGATTGCTTTCAATGGACCGAAAGCGCATTCGGCTCACCATTTCTCAAGAGACGGAGATATTTGAGGCTGATATGCAAGATTTTTTGGACCGATTTGTGACTGGATGAAACCTGGTTTCACCACTACACACCAGAGTACAAATAATAGTCGAAGCAGTGGTAAAAACCTGATCAACTCCAAATAAAGCGATGGCAGTTTTGGTGGCTGGCCAGGTGATGGCGTCAGTTTTTTGGGATATTCAGGGTGTCATCATGGTAGACTACACCGTGAAAGGCGAAATCATTAATTCAGTATACTATTGCATCCGTTTGCGTCGTTTGCGCGAAGAAATTAGAGAAACTTTCAGGATTACCCGGGACAAAAGTTTATTTCATCAGGATAATGCTCGCGGTCACACTTCTGTCGAATTCATGGCTAAAATTCCTTATTCTGGTTTCAAATTACTACCCCACTAGGCTTATTCTCCTCGTTTAGCAACTTGAGCCTTGACCTAGAAGAATCTTTTTTTTTTTAATCTGGTGTAGAATCTTTGGAAAGCAAGTGGAAGAAATGCATTGAGCTAGATGGAGATCACGTCAATAAATAAGAATATTTTTATAAAAATAAAATAAAAGTATTTAACATTGTTTTCTTGGTTAGGCCGCGAACTATTCAATCCACTCTTGTAGTATTTTTATATTTCAGTCCAATTTAAAGGTTTTTCTCATATCGTATTTATCTTATTAAGATATTCTAGCTGCACAATGCACACAGTTGGTATAAGTCACTCGTGTATTTTTTTTGTTTGTAAACAGTTCGGTTAAGTTATTGTGATCTCAAAGAGTAAGTAACACGCATATTATAAAGGATGCCTAAATGTCCCTTTCTTTCGTTCAGTTTTTTTGTGCTTGCCCTTTTTCTCTCATTGTAGGGCAAATAAAAGTTATTGATGTGTTCGACGCATAATATATTAAGTGACTGTAACTGTGACAACGTATGTATGTATTTCAAATGGAAAAGTGTCTATTGTAGATTTATTATAATAATATATCTGGGCTGTATTAAACTACCTACATCTTAGTGTTTCAATGTGTAGTGTTTGCTGGGGGCTGATAACGTGGTCTGCGTGCTATGGTTTGAGTTAGTTGATTTGTTAACTATTTTTATTCATTTAGATATTTTTTAGTAGTCAATAATACATTATGAAATCTCACTAGTCGAATTTTAAGACTATAAACCCCATTATCAGCCTCGATACATGTGATTATTTCAGTTTATATCAAAAAGAAGACTTATTATGTTCAATATTTACACAAGAAATGTTCGATAGCTTGTGTGCATGCATTCATAATTATATCTAAACGTTGTTTAAGAAATTTTCTTAATTAATTAAAAGCTCAATGTTAGATATTGTTTTTTATTAAAATAACAACTCCATTAACCCTCAAAGTAAAATACACTAATTTGAAGGGTATAAATAGTTAATGCCAGCGCGTGCGCTACAGCGGCACGGAGTTTTATTTAGATTCTAGACTGCCACCATTTTTCAATCTCAATAGGCACTACATCTTGTGACTATACTTATTTTAGATCGGAATGCACACATAAAAATAAAATTAATTTATTCTTAAATGATAATCATTACCTGTATGTCGTACGTTGACCCCAGGAGCGACCTGCTCGAGAGTACGCGAGATTACATTTTAATCGCGTACAACTCATTTATTGTCTATCTAATGAAGTGAATGATTTTTTGGCTATAATAAATAGTATAACCTATAGTAAATCTATGATTTCAACACAATTATAAGTTGGGTGCATTTGGGTGGGGCGATTGTCGCTTTCTTATGGCGAATGGTTTGCGTACTGGTTTTTGCCAAACCAGTACGTAAAACAATTTGGCTTCAATGTATAAATGGGAACATAAGTACTTTAAAATCCTGCTATACCCACTAGTGATCGTACGATGGTGTTCACCGAATAGGTACGCTTAATTTCAGGCGAATGTACATACTTTGAAACAACATGACTATAATTAGCCATTTTAGTTATGCTATCACATTCGGATTGTATATATTAGATAGTTGACACTATCGCTTATTATTAAACAAGGCATCTCTATGGTAGTAGTACGAGGACTTAAAAATACCCACCAGACTACCAGTGGATCGCTTTGCTGGCGAATTTTGCGGTTGGAATCGAGACTTAAGCGTGATGTCAAAATAATAAGGCTCATTATAATTATTAATACAAAGATCGAACACTCAGAAAAAATTCCTTCGATCCGGTCGGATTCGAACCGACGTCTTCTTGCATACCGTGCCAGACGCTATACCAACTAAGCATTACGTTTGCTCCGGATCGAAGGAATTTTTTCTGAGTGTTCGATCTTTGTATTAATAATTATAACAAACTAGTGGAGTAATTTCACAAAAAAATAATTGAATATCAATTCAATAAAAATTTAATTAAGGCTCATAATGTTTCCATTCCAGTTTCGGAATTTTAAAATTTCCATTTATTTTATGAAAAGCGGTAATATTCACGTTGAATGAGATACTAGCACCATGGACCCATTAATTATTATCAGACACCAGCAGTTGCAGACTAGCGGGGTGGCCTGATATTAAGGTTAACTAAACCTATTGATTTATCAAACCATGGTGATACTCCGCTTCGTCTTAGTGCTTCAAATAGACTTTTGAAGCATTAAAACGAAGACAAAGGGCGGCTGGATCCCACGTGTCAGCACGGTTGAACAATGTGTCCACAGTATATGGGGTTTTGTCACCTGAAGTTGATGATTCCTCTGAAAATGATGATTCTAAGAATGTAACATTACGGTCTTTACATGGTCTTTACCCATACACAAATTCCTTTTTGACAATTAATATTGACAGTTTGTACACTAGTACGAGGCTATTAAAGATACAATATCATTGGTTTGCGTACTTTACCATGTTGTCTATAGTCTTTGAGGAAAAAGTAAAACAAGTTTATTTTTCGGGTAACATTTATTTTCATGTTGTGAATGCTGGCCGTGTGACCGGCATGGTTATAGGTTGCTCTTTAGACATCCTCATTTTTACTATAACTATGACCGCCAGGCCAATGACAAGGATCAGCGTAGATACTGCTATAAGGACCGGTACCAGTATTCGTATCAAATTCAGCGACGACAGCAAGTTGGACTTGATTTCATCGACATATTTTTCAGGAAGGGACATGCCCTGTAAAATAATATTATATACATATTCACGTGTTAAAAGTAATATGTTTAAAGCTACTGATCACATTTGAAAGGGTTTTTAATGTTACACCTTTGTTACACCATTTCTATAAACATTACACTACAAACGCCCTCGATGGAAAAAAATTAATGAATGCATACCTAATTGGCAACACAACTTTTTGCAGACAAGTCTGTGTTCCAGCGTCAGAGGATGGAAAAAATAAAGGAAGTTTCAGCGGAGGCGCGATGTCGTCGAGGACATATCGTATGTAGCATTGGTAAAAGGCGCGTATATTCACGAGATCAAATTTTATGGGAGAGAGTTTAAACGTTATACTTTGTTATTTCAATTACTGTGACTTGCATTTTTGCACAGTAGGTAAGCATTAATTTATGTTACTTACGGATTGATAACAATAGATTTCACTAAATCAGTATGCTAGTTACGCATAATTGCGGTATCCCCGACGATTTATTGTAATTTTGAAAACTTACACGCAACACAAAACATTTAGGTAATATTAAAAAGCCTCGTTCGTCATCGACATAATCATCACCATTTCAACCAAAAGATGTCACTACTAGTAGTAGACTTCCTCTAAAGATCACCATGACGACCAGTCTTGTGCTGTTTGCGTCCAGTAGATTCTTAGAACCTTCATCAGATCATCGGTCCACCTTGTTGGTGGTCGGCTATCGGTACGGTACCTACGCGGCTGCCGGTCGCCAGTCGACAACTCTTACGCCTTGTTCAGCTAAGACGTACCCGTCGTTAAAGTTGTGCTCGAAAGTACGTTCTTGGTTTATATATTTTATAGCAATTTGTCTAAGGAAATTAGACCAACTAATTTCAAATAATATGAAAGAAAATAATTTTTTCATTAATAACTTAAAATTTTTGGCGTTAGTTTTCATAATTTTGTGTTTTTTCATAACTTAGCCTTAGTATCCGTTGAATTTACATGTGTATTGTGTATGTGTAACGTATTCGGTTACATTTACCTCTTCAACCCAGAAGATAGGCGTTAGCGTGGTGCGTAAATTCTGAGTGGCTGTTATGCCAGCAACTGAGCGCATGAAGACATTGAATTGAGCTCGTTTTGCGCCACGCACCAATATTCCTGTATTCTGTAATGAATAGGGTAAGGGTAATACATCATATCTGTATGTTACAATTTTAGTTGCCCTGTAAGCCTGTAGCCTCCCGCCCCCTTGTGTGTGTGAATATGTGCGTTTTCAGAAGTGTGCGTGTGTGTAGTATACGAATAAATAAATTTAATAAAATAAATACAATTTTCTTCTTACCGGTTCTAAGTCAAGGAATATTCGGTGTTGGTCAACGTTGGGAGTCATGCCTATTACTCCATTTCTGTATCGGATGTCAGCGAAGAGAAAGTGGGGGTTAGTTAACACCATGTATGCGCCTGGAAAAAGTAGTTTGGTTTAACTTGTTGTTTACTCTAGGGGTATTCCTAAATGGACTCGTGTGTCGCAGTGGAGTTCCATGGGTTAGCAGTGATAATATGAAACGTATATAATAATATGCGGTAGTACCTTCATGACAGGACATTTATGTAGACAACTTAGGCATCAAACAGTTAATGATTAGGTATAGTCATAAGACGAACGTATTTAGAAAACAACAAACTTATAAGAAAATAAATTGGTCACAAAACAAAATAATTACTCTGATGTACTCTTGAATATGTTGCTGAAACATTTAGTTAGTTTATATACTGCATGTATACCGCTACACCTGTCTCCCATGGGGTAGGCACCTTAAGGCTCAGTTTACTTTGCCGGGAACGAAGTGGAAGCGAATTTTTGTAACGAAATTGTACGTAGCGTAAAGAATTTCATGTCAGTTGTGTAATGTACAAATAGACACGAGCCAAAAAATAGGTTGAGCATCTTCCAGAGAATTCTCGCGCATTCTCGAGTATTTCCACTGCTACCGTCAGCAACGTCTGGTGAATTTTCAGAAAGTGGCGAAAAGGCGCAGTGCGGCATCAAGCGTCTACTAAACAATTATAGTAGAGATACAAAAAACTTTGCGAAATGTTTCAAATTGACCAAAAAGCTTTCGTTTCTCCGTAAACCATGCACCCAAATATCTCTTTTCCTTTTTAAGTTCTTCCTTTTCTTTTCTTCTTCTGCTCCACAAATAAGTGAAATAAAAATCATTGTCATGTAAAAAAATCTACAGTAAACAAGTAAATACTATAGCCTCAGGGCGCAGTCGCGAGAATTCTCGAGCATTCTCGTGTAACAAGGCGAAATTGACGCTTGTATAATGTAAATTGAGCCTTAACCTTCATTCACTATGCACTTGGCAAACTGTTTATAACTAAACAAAACTAAAAACTGAACAAAATTTAAATGAAACGGACATGCTGTTTGTAACCAATATCTGGCCAAATCACTATACGTTTCATCCCGAATAAATAAATACTACTAATATCAGCTTTTAATAATACTAAAGCCTTAATATTCCGGTCAAATACTTCTAAGAAAAATCTTAAAGTGATTAATGCCAGGAGGCTATGCTTACATAAATGTCACGGTTTACGTGTAAGCATACTCGCGGAATGTCAATTTGTTTTCCTTGAGTGTGAACAACTTTACTAAGTTTAGCTTGTTAACATTTATATTGTCAATAAGTAATGTTTAGAAATATCTGATTACCATCCCCCATGACCACAATGCGTATGATGTGTATCATTATAATTGTTACTCTATTTTACTACTGTACTAATATATATATAAAATATATTGTACAGAATACCGGCCCCACTAGACTTGTCACTTGGCTCACCCTACCTCTTAAATGAATATTAATTGTTTTAAATCTCAAAGGTCATTAATTAATCTTCCGAATTTATATTGCCTTCGCTAGTGTCATTACTAATTTTGGCTGCGAGTCTTTGTTTACAAACCCGGCCACATAAACAAGTTACTATGAAATTTTTAATATAAATTGTTATTTGTCTCATGGATATTAATAGCGAAGGGAAACAAGAAAGTAGACTTCTACTTACAGGTAATGTTCTTGAAATAACACCTATAGTTAGGAAGTTAAAACAAATAGGTACATGTATATTATAGTTATCTGAACCATGTACCTGTATCATCTTTTGCTGACGCTATGTACACATGTTAGTAATAATAATACTACGCCTCTTGAATGAACTCGTAACGTAATTTTAACGTAATACGTCTTTGTACGACTTCCAAACTCCTTTGTTGCAGTGCAATACATCTAGAATGCCACTACTCGCGTGACTACTCACTAAAACATAAACAAATACCATTCGGAAGAGTCGCAATACACGCTATATTATAGATAATTAACCGACTATAAAAAAAGGAGGAGATTCGCATCGCAATTAGACTGTATTTTTTGGTACGCGTGTTACTTCATTACTCCGGCATTTGTGAACCGATTTTGTCTACCTCAGTATTGGTTCCATATAAATTTGAAGAAAATATTCCACCTCTAAGGGTGGCAAACTAAGGGATTAATCCGGTTTCGCGTACTTTCCGGTAACCGATTTTAATATATAAAACTTGACAAATAGATGTAATTAATTCCACGAACTTTTGAGGTCGGTTTTTGTTTTAAAAAAGTTATAATTATTTGTACTCTCTGTTACTTTTCGATGTAATTTGCAACTTTGGCACTAGTTTGTATATATTCTGACGTATTTTTACGTTTTATCTTTTTAATTACTTTTTAGTCGTCCATAATAATATGGAAACTAATTTTGCTAGGCGATGTCGCTAAAGTGTTTGGTACGAAACATAGATGGTGTGCCTCAGTAACAATATCAATACAGGTTGTCTTGGGTAACAGTCGACGTCACAAAACTACTTAATCTTTTGTTAGGGAACTTCCATTTCCAAACCAAATTTCGAACTGGCTCATCTAATTAATATCTTTGGAAAGTCGACTTTCACGTAATTTTTCACATAGGCATGGGCATGGTCATGGGCATGGAGCATAGGCATGGTCATGGGCATGGAGCATAGGCATGGTACTGAATTTTAAAAATACCACATTGTATGTTATACGAAATGAAGCGAAAATTTATATTGTTAATTTCGGACAAGGCATTTTGACTTCGATGTAAAATGCTTCAATTCAAATGTTTATTATCATTGTTTTGCTTCGATTTGTTTTCAACTATCGTAAACAAGTGAGTATTAACATATCTAATACTCATGCATTTGTGTCAAGGGGTTGACTCAGAAAATGTTTACAAGCTTTGTAATTATTTTCTTTGCTTCATTCTACTATATGATTCCGACCTATTGCTGAACGCGAATTTCCTTTATGGAGTCTATAGATGCATTTTTTTTAGCCCTGGTCCTAATCCAATGTTAGTTGAAGAAGTCGAATAAGTTTTGTAAATTTTTCCTATATTCTACTTTCCTCTCGATGCTTTGCGTCAATGGAAGTTATAATAAAAAATACATTATTTTATTATTTTTTATTAATCTGAAAATTATTAGATATTTTCTTGCGATCAGTATTTAAATTGTGACTTTTTTAACAAAAGTGGGTGTCATTAACGTATTTAGACATGAGATATTTAATAAAAGTTAATATTTGTCTTTTTGTAACTTAAGAAAAAAAATCACAATTTCTTTATTCAAATTACACTATATAAAGTTACAAGCAATATTAAAATACCTTTAGCGAATAATAATCCAAATTACTTTTTTCTCAGCTGTTTATGAAAGTTTATGATATATTTCTATAAGGAACTCGTATCCAACGGATTTATGCAAGCGAATGGTCCCTAGAACTTTTATAAATATTAAGTTATACGACATTTGATTATAAATTCATATGGATGTACAAATGGTTGATCTTCTTATACATAAAAAGTTAAATATTTTTATAAGGAACTCGTATCCTATGGATTTAAGCCAATTATGGAAGAAAACGTTCCCTAGAATTTTTCTAAATATTAAGTTTTACAACGTTTGATTGTAAATACATATGGGTGTACAAATGGTTGATTTTCTTATACATAAAAAGTTAAAATATATACCCACTTTCAAAAAGTGTTGTCTAAGGCTTATGTTATATACCAAGGTGACAATTACTTATGTACCGTCTTACGGAATTTTCTTGTCTCTAAACTGATATGTTGGGACGAGTGTCGTCGTACCATCGGAAAATATTTTGAGTTTGTATGAATTGTTCTCTTGTGGTACTCTATAAGGCGCTAATTTAGGGCGCGTTGTAGGATTTAAGTAAAGGTCGAATAGCGATTGAGTTGTTCTGGGTACAGGAGTAGTTTTAGTAACAGAAGTAGTTTTAGTCGAACTGGCTTTAGTCACATTTGTTCTTGGAGTTTTCGTCAATGGCGTTAACGATTGGTTGGTTGGCGAAGGCTTCCGTTTAGACGTAGTAGTTTTCGGAGAGGATGTCGTGGAAGGTATGAAAATAAATGGCATGGCTTTAGTCGTAGGCGATGTTAGTCGAGTTGATGTCGAGGATACGCGTTTTTCTTCTTTGCTGTCCTTGTAAATAAATGGAAAAATTTTATTCGCCCCCATGTTCGATATTGTTTTTGTGGTTGTGAGGAGAGTTCTCGTTGATGGACTTGTAGCGAATATAAATGGTAGTCGTGTTACGGTTGTAGTAGTCTTGATAACAAATGGCAACAATTTGGTTGCCCTTGGTGGCGTGGCTTTGGTGACCTTAGTAGTATGTTTGATGGTTTTCGGTGACGAGGTCGTAATGCCACGTGCTAAAGTGTAACGTGTACTTCTCGTTGGTATCGGCTTAGCAGTAGCTACTGTTGTGATTATGACATTTGTTGCAGCTACTGTTGTGACATTTTTTGGTGGTAACGATAGCAGATGGTTAAAATTAGGATTGGAAGTCGAGTGCACCTTCGTAGGAAAGAAGTGTTGCGAACGAGGAGTTACTGTTCTCATTTCGATTGTTTTGGTGGACATTAATGGTCTTACGTGGAATTGATTGGTATATATTTGCTTTTGTGGCACCGCAGGACGAGAAGTTGTCGTCGTACTCGTGGCTGTGCTTTTTATAGTTGTAGTGTGAGACGTCAGATGTTTATACAACATCGGCAATTTCAATTCATCAATATTGTCAATTTTGTAATTTACCCAATTTGTCACATTTTCCTCTTTGTGTTCTGTAGCTTGTTCAAGTTTATTTTTGTTACTTCCGAATAGGATTGTAGAAAGCATGAAGTAAGGTGGTTTCAGATCGTCTACTTGCGGGTATAACTCATAACTAAAACTATGGTTAGTGTCGTACTTGAACGTATAAGGTTGATCGATAATTTTTGGGGCAAAGTCCTTATGATATGTAGAGTTGCAATCAGCGAGGTACTTTTTAGTATTGTGCTTGCAGTGTTGCGGATAAACGACCCAAGCGAGGAAACCATTGCCCTGGAGTCTCGTGTGTTCCTCGTAAATTTTCTGCGCACATTGCAAGTCGTCGGTTATATTGTCATCGCGGAGGTCAGAACACGAGATCTCACAGGCTTTTCCAGGACCACACCAGTACAATTCACTTATTTGGAGTATCCCATGGTCGCCACTGTAGCGATTATTAGCGGCAGTGTCAAATCTAGATTCATGGAAAGCGATGCAAACCCAGGTCGACAGATATTCTTGTTCCACGCCTAATCTATCTAAGTCTTGGGCGAGTTCGCAGCGTTCGTAAATACGGGCACTCGCGAGCGCGAACAGTGCGCACGTCCACCACGCGACGGCGCGCATTGCTACATGCGTGTGGTCCACTGACAAACACTCGCTTTTTACAGATGCTCTGGCCCGCGATTCTTTCTAAACTATGCCGCGCCCGCATATTTAACAGTAATTGTGACTGCATTGGTGTATTTCGCCCTATGACACTTTGCTAGTCGTACATAATGGTATAGAGTATGCTATTGCATATAACATATAATAACCTATGGGTGCTTCCTAGTTTTAAAACACGACTGGTCGCGGGCAGAACTGCAGATGAGCAGAGTAACAGCAGTTCACCTTGACTTGACGTCATCATATCAGAGGTGCCCAACTAAGTCGTTTATTTCAATAATGTTTTTAAACACGTATCAGTTACATCATTACTTAAAAACAATTTTCTTAAACTTGTTTTACGATGTGTAGTATAAGTGATATATTTTTTTATCATTAATTTTGAGCAGGACCGATAGTAGGTACTACGAATACTAAAGGGTAGTTTAGTTATCATTGATAGTTCTTAGTACGTTAATTATCTTTGATACTTATTTCTTAACCTAATGAATTTCGAAATACAGTGTAAGCTATTTAATTTTATTTGTTGGATTTAATTTTCGGTGAGTGGTTCCTAATCAAAGACAATACTAAAATTATTCCGTAGGTGCCGCATATTTATTTATCCAGGACATAAACATCTTCAGTTAAGATGGATAATATTCTTAACAAGGGTTAATGAAAAGCTAACATTTTTGTGTTAAATCTATGTTCAGTTTAATTTCAGTGGACAATCAAAACTGTTGTGGTACTGGAGATATAGCAGTTTTGTTGTTTTGGGTAAATATAAATAGGCGGAGCTGCCTACGAACTTATGACTATATACTTCCGGGCGTAGGTCAGGGGTAAGCCACTTGTCTTACTGCCTAATTTTATCGAATCACAAGTCAGCACACGTGCATTCAACAGAAACACGTTTATAGATTATCTATCATTATCTTTATGTATCAGATTTTACATTATAATGATTTTACATTTTACATAAAGTAATTTTTAATTTTTATATATATAATACCGATACACTATTCAATAATTGCGCATTCTTAAATTAATAATGCAAAGTATCAAATCCTTTACTATTATAATAATAATAAAAATATAAAATTGTTTATTGCATAACGTCTTGCGTAACGTCATAAGAACCTTGTATTTCAGGTAAAATTATGATTATGAAAATTATGATTATTATTCGTATAGCCATACCATTGTTATATTATTTTCAATACACTTATAACATATTATTTGACGAAGTTACTAGCAGTCGTGTTTTTGCATCGCTAACAGGAAATTCTTATCCCATTCGTAGCATTCATGAAATTGACATTGGCAAACAATGTCAGAGCAATATACAATCTATATAAAAGCGACCATATGAGCTGTGGTCGTATTTTTATTAATTGTGGAGTCATGAGACTATGCTGAGTGAGAGCATGCCACTTTGTTAACAGTTAGTAGTAATTATACATTGAACTGTAAAGCTTACCAGTGCAAGTAAAGAGTTCAATGGCACCATGCAGCAGGCAGCCATTTTCTTGGTTGATGCCGTGCGTCATGTTGAGACAGAAGCATCCATCGTCGTTATTCAGGAACCACTCGTTTGCTGCAAACCGCATAGTCGGAATGCCTTCGTACTCCGAATCCTGTTGGTACTGCAACTTTACTGACCTGCGTCATAATGTCTTCATTTATTTATGTCATTATTAATTCGGCATGACTGTTAAATATAAATTTTTGTAGTCCAGCTTACTTTTTACGTGGGGTGGTATTCGTAGAATATGAAATTCTGGAAACATCTGATTTACCTTAGGCTGGGTAGTATATGTTGGAGTAATATCAAAATATCTTGGTCTTAGTCATTAGTCATAGATTTAAAAAAAAATGTCTGCTAACCAATGCGGTGTTTATCAGATTATGGACTTGGTATGCTTCCACTGCGCAACTCTGTTTACAGTATGTCTTAAGTATTAGGAAAAAACTGTGTTCTCTATTTCATTCAATGCGGTGTTTATCAGATTATGGACTTGGTATGCTTCCACTGCGCAACTCTGTTTACAGAATGTCTTAAGTATTAGGAAAAAACTGTGTTCTCTATTTCATGTGTTCCATACAATTTCATGTCCTGGAATATGTCTTTATTATCAGTTATTTGTTCCGCAATATAACGCCAACACAATGGCGAAGGTCGGAATTTCGTTCACGGGCCATTGTACAATTTTCGAATCGTATTAAGGCAATCGTTATAGCACTGCCAAGTTTACTATGGTAGCTGGTTCTTATCATGTTTGGTGAGATTCTTGAATTCCTGGAGCTGTTTCCAGAATTTTTAGTCAGGAACGTTTACTTAAGTTTACGTAAACAGGGTATTAAATATATGCATACCAAGAATAAGCGTAATATTTACAATAATCATTAGGAATTATATTAAATAAAACGCAGATGACGAATAAAATATTACGAATATTTTGCTTGTATACACATTCAACAGTCATAAGTATATATTATAAAAATCATAATGGCAGACTAGAAAACAATAGAGAGATGAAATATGTCACAGGTTATAATAATAATAACGCACCCAAATTCACGAGAGAAATAAATAAAGGCCATGCAAATTTTTTTCCTGGGCCCGGGAATCGAACCTGGGACCTCTGCGTGGCAGTCCGGCATGGTAACAGTTCGGCCACAGAGGCAGTCATGTCATGGCAATTAGTTAATTAAACGTTATAATTGATTTCGATCATGTATGATTGTTAATATAACTTTATGTTATTCGGTCAATCACATTTCAACCCCGTAAGTACACGAGTCAAGCTTGCAATGTTATACGTGACGTAATAATATGTGTCGTATAAAAATACATATAACCTGCAGATATCGGTGTTAAGAGCGTAGAGTATTGTGTCCTCGGTAAGGAACGGCGCGAAGATGCCGGAGTCGGTGCCATTGATCATGTTGCAAACGCCGCCACCGCCGATTTCTCCCTCCGGGTCTTTCCAGAATCGCAAGCTAGTCAAATTGTTGTACAAAAAGATGCGTCCTAGATCGGCATGGTCATCCAAACCACGAGACGCTACGTATGTGTGACTCGGGTTCCCATTTCTCTGTTCAAACAATATTTTACAAATCAACTTCAACTTCAACTTTTGTATCTATGGCTCCGTCGTTTTGCGCGACGATTTCGCCAACGTCAGGGTTGAACAAATACATAAGGAACTTTCGTTACCTTGACACAATGACATAATATTGATTTTATGAAAGATTGGCAATACTTTAATGGTTATTGAAACACACATAGACAATACCTAACTTTATAGATCGCATAAAAATGTCTAAGAAAGAAACTTACATAACCGACCAATGAAAATAACAGTGAGCCATCTTGTTGCGGTTCCATATTTTGGGTGTCATCACTCATGCTTCTGATTAACTGGCATATGGTTGCAGCTGGGATCCCAGAGCTCTGACAAATTGGTATTCCATCAAATAGAACGTCTCGGACACGAAATGGCGCAATGGGTGTGTTGAACTCTCCGAAGACGCTTCCAAGGAAAGGGTTTAACAACTGGGTTATGGTACTACCCGGGAATAGCGTCTCTGCGACCTGTATGATGGCCTGCAATCAAATGTTGATTTTGTTCAAAGATTGTTACAAGAGAGTCTAATAAGGTCCGGCACCCAATGACGGACCGCTAAGCAGAGGATTTTAAGTGACTGAAGGTAATATACCTTACGGCATTTCTCCAAAACCGCAATTTTCTGTGTTAGTGCATACTAAACTCCCCTTTTTTATCAAAACAAAAATCTACAAAAAATAGAGTGTATACCTAATAAACGTCGAAAGCTAACTGGAGAGGACATATTTATAATTTTCAAAAACTTTCGGACCTAATGAAGAAAATATCCGAAATGCCTAAATTCTTGCTATTGATCTCCTAAAGGAAAATGTTAACGTTTGTGGCAGTTTATTTAATTTTCGTCATGTTAATCCACAAGGCATCATAAAAGCTTTTAAGTCGATACATGTTAAAAAAACTGAAGATCTCTGGGGCATATCAACTAAAGTTATAGACTCAGTTATTAATCTCATTTCCCCACAGTTAGCTGTAGCTTTCAATAGGTGCGTTGACGAAGGTGTTTATCCCGATTTAATGAAATACAGCAAGGTTATTCCCTTATTCAAAAGCGGTAGGAAAGTTGATCCTAGCAACTATAGGCCTATTTCAATTTTACCAGCTTTAAGTAAAATATTCGAAAAGGTTATGCTAACTCAATTACTGTCCTATTTCGGTAGGAATCATATTTTTCATAGTGAACAATACGGGTTTACTAGTGGTAGATCGACTAGCGATGCGGGGGTAGCGTTACTAAAACACATCTTTGATGCTTGGGAAAGGTCCCAGAACGCTATTGGTGTTTTCTGTGACCTCTCAAAGGCATTTGATTGCGTTGATCATAATACTCTTATTAGGAAGCTGGAACATTACGGTGTAAATGGCAAGGCGTCGAAACTTGTCTCGTCATATCTCAACGGTAGAATTCAGAAAATAGACATAAATGGAGTGACTTCTTTGGGTTCTCCAGTAAAAATGGGTGTTCCGCAGGGCTCAATACTTGGACCTTTCTTATTTCTGATTTATATTAATGATCTGCCATTCTTTGTTAAGGACCATTGCGAAATAGTGTTGTTTGCTGATGACACATCCTTGATTTTTAAAACAGACAGACATGACATTAACTATGACCGTATTAATGATACCCTCTCTAAGGTAGTTTATTGGTTTAATGCTAACAATTTATTGCTTAATGCCAAGAAGACAAAATGTGTTAAATTTGAATTACCTAACGTAAAATCGACTAGTCCAAGCATAGAAATAAACGGAGAAAAGTTAGACCTTGTTAATAAAGCAATCTTCTTGGGAGTGACCTTAGATAGTAAACTTCAGTGGTTTCCACATATATCGTCCCTGGCCAGCAGATTAAGCTCCGCTGCATACGCAGTCCGCAGAATACGTGAGCTTACCGATGTTAGTACTGCTAGACTAGTTTACTTTAGTTACTTCCATAGTATAATGTCCTACGGGATTCTCATGTGGGGTAAAGCGGCAGATATTCAAACCATATTTGTATTGCAAAAACGAGCGATTCGTTCTGTGTACCGTCTAGGCTCTCGGGTATCTCTCAGAGAAAAGTTTAAGGAGACTGGTATCATGACTGTGGCATCACAGTACATTTACTCAAATATTTTATATGCCCGTAAAAATTTACATAATTTCAATAAGAAAGAAGATATCCATAATATTAACCTTAGAGCTAAGTCCAAACTCATGGTACCACGATTTCGTTTAACCAAGGTAAACAACTCTTTTATGGGGAACTGTATACGTTTTTACAATAAGATTCCGGAGCATATATTAAGTTTATCATTTCCTAAGTTTAAAAACTACATTAAAAATATTTTGATCGAAAAATCATATTACAAAATTGAAGACTACGTGTTAGATAAAGATGTATGGAAAGACGACATGGCTCCAGAATCCACACAAATTTGATTCAAAGTGTATTCCATAGCATTTAAGTTTATTGAAAAGAGCAATCCCTAGAGTTTCTTGCTCGTTCTTCTCAGGGAGGTCAGCGTAGTGAACGAGCAGTAGCTTAAATGTAGCTTAAATGTGACGTTTTCAAGTGTAAATTTATTTTACCTATGGAATAAATAATCTTTGACTTTGACTTTGACTGACAACGGTGGCGTGTCCCGATTGCAGAATCCAGCACGAAGTGTCAATTTTCTCAAAATTGAAACCGTATATCAATATTAGACTTTAGTTCACGTATAATAAATTAGATGATAGTACTTATAATCCGAATTTCACTATAAACTAGGCATTAGTTTTATCACAATACCAAGATTGCTGCGTGCCCCAGGCTTACACGGGATTTTGGTGGTCGTTGCTAATCACGCTACACATCACAAATGAAGTATTTTAGAAGCTTCGCAATTCGTTCGCACTATTCGTCCATCACCACGCCCACCCCTGCGGCTGGAGAGAACAGGTGGATGATTTGTTGCCGATTTTAGGACTTTTTATGTGTAAATATCTAATTCGATGGATTTGATCCAGGTTGATTTTTTAATTCGATGTATCAAAAACTAATTTTTGGTTGTGTATAATATATTTTATAATGTGTTGTAACAATAAGAATACAATAACAATTTTGCTGGTTTTACAAGTATTGTCGTTTACGAGTAATATAAAAAAAATATGTATTTTCTGAATCCCGTGGCCTTGGTTTCGGTGGATTTCATACCATCGAATTCAGAAAAGCTTCCACCGAAGTCGGAAAAAACTGCCATCAAAGCTATATTTTCTTTCAAAACCAAGAATTTTATACGTTTTTTCATATATATTTAATTATTTAGTTAATATTATTGATTTTCACAATTTTATATGACTACTTACTTCCCGGTGAAAATGAATAAGGAAAATGAAAACAGAAAAGAAAAACTGGAAATCAAGAAGATGAAGGAACGTGCTAGAAAATCAAAGACAAAAAGCGATCCAATTATACATGAAACGCTTAAAGAAAACGATAGACAGAGGTATGTGAAGAAAAAGCGGAAGGAAAGATTTTGAAGTTACATGAATACCTGTTCATGTATAAAAAGTAATGAAAGGTATTAATCGCGCAAGTTACAAAAATTGTACGGAAATACTTGGTGTGATAGAAAAAAGGTTGAACAGCCAAACTGAAAACTGATTTTAATTAATAGTCATAATGTGAAATTTGTTGGCGTTGTTCTGGTCGATTTATAAATAAATTTTAGTTTTTATAGTTAGTCACATTAGTAAATGTGAATTGTGATTGAATTGAATGTTTTTATTGCCTTTTCCATAATATTTTATACAAAAATTGTGCCTTTTGTTGAATTATTCTGATTTCGGAGGTAGCTTATTCGAGGGATCAAATATCTAATTGCCCAATTAACGGTGCGTCTTCTGTTGCATAATTTTTCGAAAAATTTCAAATAGGGGAGATTTTTCCGGTATATTTTCCGAAAAATTGGAAAAATATCATTCCGAAGGCTCATATTATATTCTACGTTTAGAAATATCTCTTGAAGTTCTATATATATATATATATATATACGTAAATTATAAAATAAACGAGATCTACTTATATGATTTCACAACACCGAAAAAAATTCTTCTTAGTGGCTCCACCGTTTTCGTTCAGTAACTTCAACGTTTGACCGGTGTCAACGTTAACTGTGGAAAATTATAGGAAAAATATCCGGAGAAGTACTCATTTTTTGGACAGTATAACCGAGATTTCATACCGTCGCATCCTGCTTGTTCCCGCAGCAGTGTCACTGCATTTTGTTAAAAGACCTATGTAAATTAGTCTGCGAGAAAGTATCCTTATTGCATTTGAAGATAAACGGAATATTTTAATAATTTAAAATATTGCATATGAACTATATGCCGTTTTCCATAAGAATAGTCCAAAGTGTCAAATTTGATGTGCTCTTAATATACAGTCAAGAGAGAACGAACTTATCAATAATAAATTACAACTATCACTATTATTTCTTGACGAGTATTCTGCCCTCGTAACGAAAAAATGCACAACTATGCGTACTTTACATAGCAGTTGTGCCTTTTTTCATTCCGAGGGCAGTATTGTTTTGCATATGCTTATCGCCCTGATTTTGCATTGCAGGTGATTTGATTTATATGTATGTGCGAATTCTTTTATTACTCTAAAACGTAGTTTCCCAAAGTGGTCCCTACTGGTCTCGGGAGTAATTGGGGGGGCATGTCCCTACAGTATTTAAAAAAACCTAAATCTATATAAACTGTATACTCTATATGTAAGTATATAATTTTTTTCTCATGATTTTTTGTGTTAATATAAAAAATACGTGTTTTCAATTATTTTTTGGCGTTGCAATTTTTTTATCTTGCCTAAGTGGGAGGTGAGCCAAAAAGTTAGGGAACCTATGCTCTTAAAGATTTATTGTAATTTTTAAACCTTACATAGAATTTAAATCTTACATAGAAACAACCTTGTAATTCATAATTCATTTACTTTTAAGTGTATGTCCATTAAGTATTAATTTTATTATGTTAATTTCTAGGTATTATTAATAAATATTTTTACATTCTTATTTTTTATTTTATTATATTTGCTTGCTTTGGTGTCATGGCTGTAGGGGTTCATTTGCTGACCAAGTGCTACTTACTATCAGAATAAAAGCGCTGTGATCTGTCAACGTCGTTTTGTAACAAGCGTTTGATAAATTGAATTTATAATAAATTTAAATTAAAAACATGTTTGCGTTGAAGATAGGTTTTGTGAAAACACAGGTTGTACAGAATTTGACATGACAATATAAGTAGATAAGTACCATATTATAATAGTTAGCCTGTACTTATTTGACGACCTCGGTGGCCCAACGTATGAAAAATGTTTTATTATATTGGACTAACTTCTGCTTGTCCGATTTTTTCATCTCATGCAATGAAATGATCCTTACATAAAACTGAGGCAATCAGCACAAAAAATTATCAATTTTATTCATTTTTATGGACAACACACGCTTGACCAAAAAATTGATTATGCCAAAATTGTTTTCACATAAATATGGTATATTATATTATATATTATATACGGTATATGTGTACATAATCCGATATTATAAGTGATATTCGTGGTGTCAATATAGATTCATCATTTGGCGGGTGATAATAAATAAATAAATAAATAAATATTCATTCATCAAAATAAATGCCCGTTAAGGTAATGATACAACACAATGCTTGTTTAAAAAATGCTTGAGATCGTCTTTTATTTTTCGAATTACGTAAATAAAGAATTCTTATTTAGATTTCAACTTGAACAAACAAGAAAACAAAATAAATTTGTCAAAATTTTTCAAATATATGTAAATGTTTTTGTGATACTAGACCTTAGAGGTTGGAAAAAATAGTCGAAATATGGGGGGGGGGGGGGGGGGGGCTTTCCTAAATGGGCACTCACCCGCCTGGACCTCGGCTCTGGATCTGGGCTCGCAGAGGAAGCAGCCATGGTCCAGGCGTGGTGCCCCCCCCCGAGGTTGGGCAGGAGCCTGCCCAACGCCGATGCGGCGCCCACTATTCGGGGAGCAAGTTGTCGAAAATGCTCGATAGCGAGGAGTCCTGGGAGGCGGTGGCCTCCTTTTGCACAGAGGTTATGTCGCAAAAGGAGGCCGCGGAGCGGGTGCGCGAGGACGCGGCAGACGCGCACCCGCTCCGGCGCAGACGTACGGGGAGAAGGCGAAGGCAGTTCGCTGCTCGCCTGATCCCCTAGTGAGACCAGCGGGCTCTGGACAGGGACTCCGGAGCCTGCATTGCACGGCCTCACTCGTCTGGGGGGCGGGTCGGAGGACAACCGGCTCGTCCCTCCGTTGGTGCGGGCACCTGGCGCAAGCTAGGGCGGCTGGGCGGCGTCGTGGTGAATGTTCGCTGATCTCACGGCGCCGACTCAACCAACGAGAGGGAAACCCGGGGGGGTTTTAGTGGGGTAGGCCTTCCAGTGTGGAGGGAGAGTCCCCACATAACCCCTGAGTCTCTCTGGGCTCAGGGGTATCCATAAAGATTTTCCCCCCGTGAAAAAAAAAGGGGGGAGAATGCGGAAAATTCCTTTGTAATTCGGTGCTTATTCTAAAAGGATCCTGTAGCAAAAATTTTATTTTGGTACCTTCCGCAAGTTCGTCTGGGTGTCTCCGCAGATCGATTAGCATGTACACTTTCTTATGGGGCTTATACACAATGATAAGGTTTATACGCTATTAGATTTCATGATAGAATTTGGTGCTCATTGGTAATTTTTAATTCATATTTAATTGATTCGAAATTATTGTGAAAAGCAACGTATATTTGCTTTTTCATCTTGATCGTGTAACAATAACGTGGTTAGGAAGCGTTCAAATATTGTTATTAAATATTAATATTATATTATTATTACTGATAACAAATTGACACGCTTTTTCTCCATCGGAGAAATCACCATCTCACGGCCTTTTTAGGTGGACAAACCTATAGCATCATAATTGAACAAGTTTGCAATTAGAGACAGGATCAAAACCTGCCGTTAATGCGCCTGTGCGGGCGATGGATCTGCGCGGTGGAAGCTGTGTACTCATATAGAACTAAGCCTTAAAGCGTCTGTTGTCCTCCATTATTGACTTTTCATTATGTAGAGTTGCATGCCAGTTAAATAAGCCAGCCTACTTATATTTACGATATTCTAGTGCCAAACTCAATTTTAGGATGTTATTAATGCATTGATGAATCAGAAAAAGATTGATTTCCCGTTTAATAACTCATTCTTAATTACGTACCCTGCTGTAAACACGTTGTCCTGTAGATGGTATTTAACAATACTCATTAGTTCTGTGTGGGTTTGCCAGTATTTTAAGTTTAGTGACCTTGTACGGTATTAGAGTGCTGGTAGTAGAGCTTCTATGGATTTGTACTAAAAAATCCCGTAATCGGACTAACGCGTGGGAGCGAGATAATAAGCGTGTCTGAATCACAGTATGCATTGAAATTTGTCCTCACCACCGAATACAAATTCATCAACACACAGATGTTTAAGTTGGTTTCATCAACTCTTGTTAGTTAGCCTGTATCAACTCCCGGAATTTTAGATTACTTATATTTTTGATAATTTTTACGCAATGAGATTTGTTACACCCGATTTATAGATCATCCAAAATTTATTGAAGCGTATAGATTCAATACATTTTGGATGATCTATACATCAGGTGTAACAAAACTCATTGTGTCAGCATTATTGCTTAAGCGTAATGACGCTTAAGGAATAGTTAAAATTATAAACACGAACATTGACCTAGGTCAATGAACACGACTGAAAAATTGTGAAAATATTACACGTGTGTTATTTGAATAAATTTTTTGAAGTTTTCATATTATTTATATCAGGATTATTCTTCAATCTTATCGGATAATATAAGCGGTCAAATTCTTTACAACCATTCAAAGGCATGATCTGATTATTCGAATGACCAACTTGGGTTATAGCACAATATATTGAAATCGTGACAAAAAATGTAGAGTAATTAGTTGCCACCATAGTGTATATAAAATAATGATAAATTCAAAGTAGTTTACTTCCACTCTAAGTTTGCTCTCACTTTGCTATATGTAAGTTTTTGGGCAAAATGTTAGCGATCAGACTTACCCGCGAGCACGACGAGTCCCAGCCCATCGAACAACTGTGCGGATATTCGATCATTTATCACATTCATACGGTGAAGCAGTTGATGGCGAAGTGTCACGAATACTACTGGACCATTTTAACGGGCTGTTACGAGAACGATTTCGTTAGTATTGAACATTGGGCCGTGTTCCACGCTCTCCATCGCTGTCATATAGATTCTCGTTAAGTATGTAAATGTGCTCGAGGTAGCTTTATGCTCCAGCTACACTGCAAATGCAAATCCAAGCCCCGACGAATCCTGTATCTATTTGGCGAGCTATGAGACAACGATACACTATTCGCTCCACATTATTTACGGTAGTTCTTAAAGTTGTCATAAAAATACCATACTGGGAAGAATATGGAGTAACATATAACAACAATAACAATGATTTCTACTTGTCTCATCTACGATTCGCAGACGGTCTTATATTAGGTTAAGAGCACGTCAAGTTTGACACTTATGATATAAATTCAACTCTATACTGCTTGCGATAAGTGCGGTTCCAAGTTCAGGTGTCAAGCTTTATGTGCCACCATATACCAACACCTTTTTAATGCCTCTTTGAGTTTTGTCCAAGACGAAGATTATGGCGAAACTCTTCAGTACTACAAATTACACTGTTAAAGAAAGAAATGAGAGGCTGGTTGACCAGTAGTTTTATCTAAGTTTAGTAGGTAAATCATCAGTAAATAGAGATCACAAAACGCAACAAAAAGGATGAGCTGCATTCGATAGTTCGGTGGGGGATAGGGGTGTTCAGTCCCTATGACTTACGGTGCTGAGACATGGATGCTCACTCAAGAGGCTGTATATAAAATGAGAATTACACAGACAGCCACAAACTTGTCATGCTCAGCGTTAAACTTATAGAACGAGTTCCGAATTTCGAAACCCGACGACTATTTTGGGTCCTAGAAGTAGGAGTTTATAATAACCGAATGGTGATTAAGAAGAGATTAGGAAAACATGAGGCGTCCTGCAGCGAGATGCGTAGACGACATAGTTAAAATCGAGGTTCGTAGATGTTGAGACACGCGCCAAATCGTGGTGGATGACACCAACTAAGGGACGGAGGAAGCATATATTTTCATATCTATGGGAGAACGTATACCCTTTGTGGGTGACGTCGGGCTGAGGATGGTGAGAGTAATTAAAAGCTAAATAATAAAAATCAAAGGCATAGCAGCCACATACCCATTACACAATAGCTGTAATCCTGATTGTTAACATTCGCACAGCGAACATATTATTTTATAATATGATAATATGGCATAAGTTCTCATCAACAATATATAGCTATGTTAAAAATTATACAGTAAAAATGTCAATGTAGTTAGCATTAACTTAGACCTCCGTCCATGCACGAGGTCAGAGTTCGTTTTTGGAATCATGATTGTGATGATGGTGGTAGCGGATTACGATTATATGACTTGTGCCCAGCAACAGAATATATTTTAGAGTATCTAAGTACAGAGTGTGTGGCCCTGTGCACTTACATGGTAAGGTATATTGATCATTGTAACGATGTCGTCTTCAGTATTAGGATAAGAAGCTATGGGATCAAACTCAAAGTGGTTCAAAATTCTGTAGGTTATATTGCTTTCATCCAGCTCATCAATAATTCTTTGTTGATGTAGCCTGAAAACAAAATAACATATTTCAGTATACCTGTAATTTTTAGTTTCTTGAAAGTGGAAGACAATAAGAGGCTGTTATATTGGGCTACATTAATGAATGTAGCAAAGACAATGGTCTTCTAGTTCAATGGAGCGTATTTTTTTTTTGCTTTCTATATCATAGCCGGCTGCAATATTAGTTAGCTTCACGATTTTTTTTTATAGGTCAGAAATCAAGTCAAGCCCAAAAATCAGCATCCGCATTGGCTGATATGTAAAAGACCCGCTTAAGCAACAACCATGATCGATATTCGTTTTTGTAACAGATACCTATTAAACTACGTCACGGACGATTACGAGTATTTGTCACACCAGCATATCTAGAAGAATATATTATGTACGTACTATTATGTCGTAAGGTGCTGTGTACGTACTTTGGTAGTATTAACAGAGCTTAATTTCAGAAACGATTAAATTGATAGATCGAGGATTAGTTAGATTAGATCAATTAATTATATTTTGTAATGTTTAAGAATTTGCTTCATAATATACTAGGTACTACTACCTTTATTAAATAAAACTAATACTTATACACTGACGAAAACGAGCGGCTTCAAAAACTAGGATATTGGTATAAAGTTGCCGTTCATCAACAGAATATTAACTGCATTAGTATTAAGATGGTTACCTCGAAGTAGTAAATAATATTCAGTTATTTATTCTTAGACGTCCACGTCCACGCTTAATTTCTATTTAAGTTTGTTTTTTTAATTGAATTGTTTATGTCATACGTGCTTGTATTGATGTCTGTTACCGTGTGGATATGGTGAAAAGAGTAGCCCGTACAAGATTCTTATCGTTGTTGCGAAATGTTGTATGAGCATAAAACTCGAAATTCAGTAGGGTTTTATATCAATTTCTGTCCAAGCAGTAGTCAACTGAAACAGGTGTGCCAATCATTTTAAGTACATTATTTTAAGATGGTCTTTATTAATTGCTGGAGCACTCTACTTACTTGTAAATATAAGGTCCAGCTTCGGTCATAACGGGTACTGCACCGGCTAGGACCTCATCCCTGTTTGTAATATTCCACAAACGCACGGTGAAGTTAAGTGGGAACGGCACCGTCATGAACCTCTCTAATTGTATCGTGTCATTAATTAGCGTTATTTCCTAAAATAAAAAAGGCCAGACATCAATGTGAAATTTTCTAGTACCAATGACGGACTTTTCGCTTCTAGAAACACTTTTTTGAGCATCAAAATTTGTATCCGGATATACTTCCAAGTGCGCTGAACAACAAGGCGTTAAAGCCCGTCTACAGTGTGAAATTTACCGTGAGGTAAGCTTATACGAGGCATGCGCGTATTACGAAGCTGTAAGTAGTGCGTTAGGTGCTGTAAAATCTTAAGTATCGATGTCATATATTTTTCAGATATTTGAATTGGGAAATGCAATGAAATCCATGAAAGGAGATTATAAGAGAGAAGAGCTTACCAGTTGAAAGCTAAATGTGTAATAAAAGTAAAGGATAATGCCATAGAAGATCATGAATCCGATTCTTTTGGACACATGGCAACATAACCCCCCAAAACCGGACCGTTTTAAATGGATCATAATTGACGGATGGCATTTGAAAAGGGTTCTCGCTGTAATAGTTTAACTGTGAAATGATATTCAATATCATTTTCATCGCCGAGATAAATGGTCTAATGAGAAACTAAATTATATATATACTTACATTTATAATACTCCTTTCAACTATACCGGGAATAACCGCATATCCTACACTGCTTATTACTATTACTAAAACAGCGCCTATGACCGAGATAACCACCCCGCATATCATACCCATTTTTTATTAACAAATTTATTTTTTCTATAAAGTCGTCCGTTACCGTAGAGGTAGGCACTGATATGTTTACGAAAGGACTAAAATATGAAACGCTTGATTTTCATTGATAACAGATTGTAATTAGGGTTTTATCTATTCATTAAAACCATTTTTTTGTTTAAAGTTGTTAATTAACGATAATTTAAGACAAGCCACAATCAGTAGTAAAATTGTTTTTAGCATATTTGTTTTAATTATCAAATCTCCTTAAGGAAATTTGTAAATTAGTTTAGTGTATGAGTCTAGAATGATATAACGATTAAAAACTGTTGTATATATTATTTTGTAGCGAATGGATAATCTAGATGTTTGATAATCAATTTCGCGAAATGACTAAGGGCGTTAGATCAAGTATACTTACTCCAAAACGGGATAATATAATGCGAGAGAAAACGCTAACGTGTAAATAAATAAATAATAAATATGAAGAACCCTTACAAAGTAACATATATGCACTGGTATCGCTATCAATTTTACACCTTGTTTTGTAAATATAAGTCATTAAGCTGGAATATACATTCATGTTTGTATACACAAATAAATACATGTGATAAAAGACTTAGTGATAAAATAGTTAACCTAAATGCTCCATAGTATTCGTAGATAGTACTTTATCTTGATAGTGGTCAATGAAGAGGGTCATCACTTCTAAATTATTATTTATAATAAATATGGCAGACAAGAACACCTAATTATATAAATAATCTAGTCTCGAACTAAGCAATTATAAATTCCTTTTTCCTATTCAAATCTACTCTACTATATAATATAATTAACTGCAGGTCATAGTGTCGCAAAGTGGTCCCAACCGTGTGACGGCTGGGACCACTTTGATTTGGGACTTTGGGCGCTGAAGAGTCCTAGAGGCGTGGTAAATTGGGAGGGGGTGCGTCCAGGGCGTGCTATCGCATATCAAAAAACCTGAATTATCTGTGAAAACTACACTATATATACGTATTTTCTTCCTCCTGATTTTTTGTGTTCAGTCAATATACGTGTTTTAAATATTTTTCTTTTTGTGGGGGTGGGCGTCGAAATTGTTTATCTTGTCTGTGAGCCAAAAAGTTTGGGGACCTATGCTCTAGGTGGTACCCTAAACACCCAAACCAGGACCAATGTAGTAAAGGTCGACCTTGTCGTAAATTGGTTTAAAGCCTGTTAGAACCTGGGACTTGTTACACTTCATACTCTATAGTCAAGTTTCTATTCAGTATCGAGGACGTCAATAATTAGAGATGTAGATATGGCGTGTTTCAATTGTAATATTATTTCCTGTAATATTTAGTATTAATATTTTGATCACATCCTGTGGCAACAGCAACTTAGTCTTGTATTCATCAACGAACGCTAATGTATGTAGATGGATAAACGTGCCTTACATTTTTTTTCATAAAAATATGACTTACATTTTGTAAACTGACTTGAAAATCTTATTTTTTTATTAATCTTATCATTTCTATTGCGATTTGATAGTCATTTTTGGTTAGAATTTTTTTATTGTCGGTATCGTTTCCCAGGATTTAATAGCAAAGTAAGATTTAGTATCCTTTTGTAATGTATAAAGTCTCCGATTGACATTTCCTATTCTAAGGCAACCCGCAACAAACAACCCTTTGAAAAGTTGAGGCAGAAGCATCCGACATTGCGAAAGCGCCCCCGTAGTCCCGGGAAAAGGCACCGGGACGGAACATCGACGGTTTTAGTCGGTAGGAGTCCGACCTAACCTCTGCTGTGGCTCCTGCAGCAGAGAGGTATAAATGACAAACAGACCATATAAATGGTATCTACGAGGATTTCCCCACGTAAAAAAAAAGCATCCAACATGGTTGTCCGTTAGCAATTTTCGACTGCGAACTGCAACACAGGAAAGTCTATTAGAAGTAAAATTCTTTTTCGTATCTTCCATGTTTTAAACGCTAAAAATTGTAGTGAATCGCTAGAAATGGGTGAATAAAAGCACGCGATGTGTTGAGTATGCGACGCCTAAACGGTGTGCAATCAAATATTTTTTAATTCTGTTTTATTTAATACTTTATATACGTCTCGCGCTAGTGAAACCATGTGTCGCGGGTGCCATGGACATACACATAGACAACTACAAATTAAAAAACAAAGTACCTTTGCGTGGCAGACCAGCATGGTAATCGTTCGGCCACAGAGACAGTCAAGTTAACTGTATTTTATATTGCAAAAAAATCTTGATTATTTTCCAGCAACATACATAGGTTGTAACCAAAAGCTGTTTCGTCAGTCAGGGCGTTGGGGCATTCTTTATGTTTATTTTACAGGTAGATGACAATTTAATTTCGTTTGCTATTAAAGCCTACGACAGAATACCTACAATAAACAAATATTTACTCCTTACTATAAATGGAATATATCGCACCCTCTATAAGAAAGTGACGAAATTATAAAAGTAATTTTTTAAACTGAGTAAGTACCTAAATATAAACGTCTGGTAACGTGTGGCACCAGGCTTAATTGTGTATATGCCAAATTGTATTTAATATGTAAATCGAGATTGTATAGGTATATATAGAAGTTCGTTAATAAATTCATTCGCGTTATTGCTTATTAATGACAATACATTAAAGAGTAAAAAGTTGCATGCCTTAAAGTTTGTATGAAGAAATAAATTACACCGAATTTTTTTCTTAGAGGTATACCTTTAACTTTCATATTTCAGTATAAGTACCTATTGAATCGTGTTTCTCAAATGCGCTCTTGCATGACCCTGCTCATATTGATTTTTTTGTGACGCCATTGCATTGTTCTTGGAATTAAACATATTAAAATACAACGGACCGCATAACGGGACATCATAAATATGCTTGTAGTATAGTCAGCCAATAAATTATTTAAGCGACTAAGACAAGCCAATATAAGCGTAATATACAAATAGGGGCAATCAGAAATACAAATTTATACGATATTTCGTTCGTCTGGTCGGTAATACCATCAATCGGTCCAACGGTATTAAGATTATATATATTTTTTTTAATATTGTTGAGGGATTTTATTTTTTATTTTATTACAATGCGGACAACGTACAGGCACATACGCTGTACTATGTCATTAAGCAAATGTCGCAAACCCGGAAATTTATTTATTCATTTTGCGTTTTTATTACTCGGAAGTAATAAACAAATACATAAACAATCATTTTATTAAGTCGAAGAAAAGAGCTGAATTAATAAGTACTTAGATATTATAATTACCATGTATGCTAACATCTTTAGTTGGTCAAATAATTATGGCCTAAGTGACCATAATTATGTGTGACCTTCACCCTAATACCTACTTACTCATTCACAGTTCGTAATGAATGTGTAACTTATAATATTCTTAGTTACTTTATTAGCTTAAATGATTTTGGTGACGGCTGTACATCCAAGTAGGTACACATTGTCAACATGGTAACAATTATTCATATTGCGGTGCTTTTTTTTAAATCCCGCTGCGCACTTGATTCTTTATTAAATTGTGTCGTTGAACTGAACAAAAAAGCATCATAATGATACATGGGATGTACCGGTAATTCCGTTATAGTACCTGTAGTTGATAAATTAAGGGGTAATAAGAACTAGAGCTTCTTTTGAAAATAAATAAAGCGATATTTATTTATTTGTATTTTTCATATTTCAGTGTTTGGTAACTAAAAGGAGGAAGATCCTAGTTCTATTGTATACCGCTTACGCTGAGACTTTTCCAGCAATTGCAATCTCGACTAGTTGTCCCATAACTGGATGGCCCACAGTTTTTCGCCTCCGTGTAAAACTGCTGATAGTTTTAAAACGCAATGTCTCAACGTCTAATCAAATCTGAAAAATCTTTCGCGCCTCCGGTGAAGCAGTGACTTACATTTGTAAAATTTACCAAAAATTAATTAAAAGTTTTGTATTTATGGCTACTGACCTCACTTTAAAAACTCTTAAATGTAATACTGTTTCAATACCCATTACGCCCTCTATACAAAAATGAAGGAATGCATAATGTGTCTGTTTTTCCCAAGTCAATGGTTTTTCCGTATAAATTGCATTTTAAAAATTGTTCTTTTTGACAATTTTTTGCAGTGAAGTCTGTTTTACCGGAGGTGCGATATATGAAAAAAACATTTTACTTTTTTCATATTTTGTAGCAAGGTGTCTTATAATTGTTAATAATAGCAAGTACAAACACATAATGTGTAATCATTTTATAGTGTATGCATGGCAGTGTTTGATTATAAATCGCACTTACGTACGTACTATCGTATCGGTGTTCGATTTATCGGCGATACACGGTTTTATATCTACTTGTGCTTGTGTCTATATGAACGCACAACCACGCACTTCTGAATACAGGCAGCACCATTGATTGGTTGATTGAATTGGCCGCATTAATGTTGCGAATTAGGTGAGCTTTGAATGTATTTCACTCCGTTGCCATCCAAGCCATAGGTTTTCTTATTATTTACTACTTAAAAAAATACATATCGCACTGCTATTACAATAGTGTTTAAACTATACAAATACAAAGATTTATACTATAGCTGATCGTAAAATTTGATTCTCTACACGCCAATAAAACCGTCGTTAAAATATTGTAAGAAACAATTCAAATAAATCTATTTAACTCAAAATGAGACAAACTTTTTGCGAACTACTAGTTTTGGCTAAAACAGTCTTAATAATAAAGTTTATAAAAAATATTATGTTATTTTTTCCTTTTATTTGGCAAGTAGGGAATGTCTGTAATAAATACTTGTTTAGATGTCTGTAATAAATAAACTTTAACCTATACATAAATTTTAATAATATTTCGCTGGAAGCGAGTAATTCGTTTTTCATCGATTTTGAAAAAAATATACTTTTTGAGTGAATACACTATTGTATTAACAGTGCAATATATTATAATAATAGGGGTTAAAGTATGAAATTGCCGATTTGTACTGAAAATCTAAATTGTTTATTTTTTAAATTTTTAACAAATTTATTTAATCAAAATAGTTGCCATTATTATCTATACATTGCTGCCATCTAATGGGAAGGTTATTAATGCCTTTGCGATGGAACTCCGACGATCTAGACTGCACAAACTGTGTGAAAGCATTTTGTACTGCCTCCTGGGAAGAAAACTTCTTGTCACGTAGATAATTGTCCAAATCACGAAAAAAATGGTAGTCCGTTGGAGCAAGGTCTGGTGAATACGGAGGATAACGAATGGTTTCTAACTGCAGTTCCTGAAGGGTCAAAATGGTTTCTCGTGCTGTGTGAGGTCTCGCGTTGTCGTGGAGCAATAATGGTGAAGATCGATTCATGAGTCGGGGCTGTTTTACTGCTAGTTTTGTCAACATGGTTCGG